CAATGATAGTTTTTCCTCATTTATATATAAAGTACTAGACAATGATTGACAGCTGAGTTGAACAGAAATTAAGAGACAGAAATATTTATACCTTTTATTAAGATAAAGAACATGTTCAGGATAAGTTATATGAAGTGATATAAATCTAACAAAATACTTAGCCCTTCTCAATATCTGAAGCTCAATTTTTAGAAACACCATAATATTATGCATATTTAATTAATAAAACTAAAAGTGCATAACGAATTATTTATAGTAGCTTAAGTTAGCTTTATGTTTAGTACCAGATTCTAATGAACAGAGTTATAATTTTCAGAGCTTTGAAATTCATCTTCATCCATACACATATGTTCTGGAAGCACACATAGGCCCACAGCATCTTCACTGCAGCATTATTTAGACAGAGTCAATGACTGGAGTTCACAACAGAAAAAGAAAAATTTTAACTTGAAAATCATTTACACGCCTGTCGGGCAAGATTAGCAATTCCCGGCTTGGGTCATTGATGGGTGTAAAATAAAAGGTGACTAAGCCTGAGTCTGGCTGTTAAAATCCAAAATCTGTGGAATTCAGACGCATTTGCAAATTCCATCAAGTAATCCGTTACTGAGATTACTTCAGGGGATGCTACACTTAGAAAGTAACACTAGGTCCCCCGCCTTGCTGGATGTCTCAACACTTCACAACACAATGTGTCACTCCCAAAAGAACCAGAGGAACACATTAAGGAATCTTGGGGAATCACAGAAGTGGAGGGATGAAGGGGAAGCCCCAGAAATCACCTAGCTCCTCCGCCCTCTTGTTTTATGCCTTAGAAAACAAAGACCCAGAAAAAGCGACTTGTGGGTGCAGGTACACAGAGTGGCACTCTAGATCCAGAATCCAGCTGTCCTCTCTCCCAGGCCAAATGAGCTTGCTTTTTATTTAGTTTTTATTATCTTTCACTCTGTCTCTTCTTTTTCACTGTTCTTCTTTTTCAAAGATTTATTTATTTGAAAGGCAGAGTGCAGCAAGAGAAAGAGGGAGAGACAAAGAAAAGGAGATCTTCCATCCGCTGGCTCATTCCACACAAGTCAGGATCCTGAAACTCCATCCAGATTGCACATGGTATCAGGGACCCAAGGAGCTGGGCCATCCTTCTCAGCCTCCCAGGCACGGCACCAGGAAGCCAGATCTGAGGTGGAGGAGCCAGGACTCAAACCAGGCACCTGGACCTGGGATGTGGGTGTTTCAGAGGCTGTAGCACACCTGTTCTGAAAATATTCTTATTCTCCATTTCCCACTTAGAAAGACTTATTCTACTTGAAAATTAGAGAGAAAGAGAGAGAGACAGAGACAGAGAGATATTGATTGTATTTCTTGCTCACTCCCTAAATGGTTGCAATGGCCAGAGTTGGACTGGTCTAAAGCCAGTATCTAGGAGCTTCTTCTGGGTCTTCCATGTGGATGCTGGGCCTACAAACCTTGGGCCATTCTATGCTTGTAGCTGAGACTCAAATCTGGACCCACATTGCATGCTAGTGCTACAGGCAGAGGCTTAGTCTGATATGCATGGCACTGGCCATTATCATTAATTAAAAACCAACAGGATTGTCTAAGGTATTATTAAGCTAATACCTTACACTAACATCCCACTATTTTTGGGACCACAGCATCATTCCTTTTCTGGTGGTATCTTTTCATTATAAAAAAATTCTTTTCAAGATTTTTTTCACATTGTTCAAAACTGGGATTGGAAATCATTGTTGGTGACAAATGACTAAGAAATGCCAAGTTTGAAAAATAGTATAATTTTAAGGCAAGGAAACTAAAGGAATACAAAACATGTTCGGAAATTAAAAAAAAAAACCCAGAATAGTTTACCATTTTATGCCTTATAGTTTTGGAAATCTGCAGGGACAATGAGGAATGGTAGAAGAAGGGAGCTCTGGTTTCTTTTCCCATTAAGAACTTTATCCTCAATCTTCTGTCTAAGCCCAGAGATTCAGAAGCCTCTTGCAGACAACCTGGAATGAGTCTTTAACTGATTAAAAAAGTCTTTGCCAAGTCACCTGCTAAAGGGCTCTAGGGCTGAGGCAAAGTGGAGCGATTACATTCAAATAACCATTAGGGCTGGAACAGGCCCAAGACCAAGTTCATGCACATGGCTCCTGGGCTGTGACAGGTCTAAGCAAAGGTCCTCGTCTGTAGAGCTAAGAAAAAGTTTGCATCTATAATGGTCTGAGAAGTGCTCCATGCTAAACCAACCCCAAACCAAAAACAACCTTGTAGATTCAACAGACACTAGGGTGTGGAAAGAGTGATGAAGAGGTCCAAAAGGGGAAGAATCAGGCAGAGGCGGACCACAAAGACATGTTCAGATGATGGTGCAGGGGTGAGACAAGACGCAGGTGAGCCACAGATGGAAGGAGATACACGGCCACTCCTGAGAGCCCTGGGGCAAGATGGGTTTCAGAACTGAGGTGCAACTGTCTTCTGTGCCACCAAGGAGTGCAAGGGAATCCGTGTGGCATAGAGGCAGCCCGAGGCAGAGAGCAGCAGCAGGCTAGGCTTCGCGTCCCTGAGTGACACAGGCAGTGGCAAGGCCAGGGAGACCAGGTCAGCCGGGGACGCTGACACGGGCGGATGTTATCAGATGATGATTTGACTCCATGTCAACACGACTGCATCAGAACATTTTTGTTAAGTGTTAGATGCCTTTTTCTCTCCCTTCCCCAGTGAGAGCTAAGGGATGGATTTGAGCAAAAATACCACCACAGAGGAAAGCTAGTTTGAGTAAAATTTTGAATACAATAAAAAGCAAGTGAAGACCATGAGCCCACCAACCCCTGCTTGAGACTCCATGAATTCCTGCAAAGTGGGCTAGGTAGTAACATGCTCATTTCTCATTTCCTACATGCATGTACTACCTGATACATATTTTACATATGATCTATATCTACGAAGGCCAGAGCAGTGAGCTGGTTGGGTCACAAGAAGGTGTAAATGAAAAAAAAAAAACCCACAAAAAAACAAAAACAAAAAAACCCTAGCAAAACTAAAAGGAAATATTTCAGCAAAGTTGTTTCTTATCTTCTCTTTCTCATTTTTCTTGCACTTGTGGTAACATCCTATTAAAGATCCAAGAAACACACACACTCTCAAGAACAGGATGAAAACAGGAAGACCCTGTCAGCTTTTGTTCACACTAAACATAAAAATGGGCAGATATGGTCCCTGAAGGCCTTCCAGTGAGGACAAAATGACTATTGAAATGTCATGATTCCTTGGTAAATAGGCACTCCTGAGTAAATCTGTTTCCATAACCACATTTACAAGTGCAGGTTTTCAGAGAGACACAGAAGATGTTAACTCTGCTTCCTTGACAACACACGTTTCACTCCTGGTGCTGGACTCCCCAGCTCCTGGGCTATGGGCAACTGTAATTTGTGGGCATTCCCGTAAGCCTGCCAGCCCCAGAAGCAGGCTGGAGTTAGAGAAGTATTTTGTTTTCACCCACAGGAACATCACTGCTTTTAGCCATTTTGCCAGATAGTGACAGACAGCCCAGGGCTGTTACTTTACATGAACTCCTTGTTAGCAAATGAAGAACACAGTGAAACATTCTGCTTTGTTCTGGATGTCTGGAAGAAAAGATGTCTCATACAATGCTTCAAAATGTGTAAATATATGCTTACATAGATTTTATCTATTATATATATGATATGTACATATTACACACACACACACACACACACGCATATGTTTATTAAGAAGTCTACTTGGGAAAATAACCCAAAGAAAATTCAGCTTACCTATTAGATGTTTTCTTTGCTTTGCAGTTTTTAAACACAAAGTGCCATGAACAGAAGAAGGGTAGTCCTACTCTTAGAACTGTTCTTAGAATGCTTAGAAGCATTTACAAACCTGATCTGATTATGATGCATTCACTAGGCAGAGGGTTGCACAAGTCCGGAGAGGCTATGGGTGAAACTGTTGGGAAGAGTACTGGCAATAAACTGTTTAAATGGCATGCCTGGTAGGATTACTGTAGGCCCTGAGATGACAGCTGGGGAGAAAGGATAAAGCATTGTGGTCACCAAAGGGCAGGTTAGGGGTCAGCAGCCAACCAGCCAAAGGCTTCATTGCATGAGGATGGTGACGTCTATCATTCTTCCCCTATTGTTATATAGGCAATTTCTGTGGAATTTTCTATAGCTAGCTTTTTTTTTTAAGCTTTATTTTTATTAGAAAGGCAGATCTACAGAGAGAAGAGGAAGCAGAATAATTTTCCAACCGCTGGTTTATTCCCCAAATGGGTGCAACTGCTGGAGCTGAGCCGATCTGAAGCCAGAAGCCAGGAGCTTCTTCTGGATCTCCTATGTGGGTGCACATGTCTCCTGGGCTGTGGGTGATGGGTCCCAAGGCTGTGGGACATCCTCTACTGCTTTCCATGGGAAATGGAGCAGCCAGGACATGAACCAGCACTCATATGGGATGCTTTTGCTTGCAGGAAGAGGATTAGCCAGTTGAGCTTCGAGCTGGCCTGCAGCTAGCTTTAAAAACAGAATTTGTCTGTCTCACGAGAGAGCGTTTAGTCTTCCCTGAAACTAAAGGGTAAACCCAGATGACCTTTCATGGTTCTCTTTCTTCATCAATGTGAAAACATGGAACAAAATGCCAGCGTTACTCAACAGACCTGTTACAAGAAGAAGGAATTAAAATGCAGGAACATAGTGTCATTCTCTACACAAACAACAGCGAGGCAAGCTATTTGGTATCACCTTAAGATACTTCGTGGTCTGCCGAAGCAAGGTGGTATATGTAAATCTTTCTCACAAAGCAAGGCAGAAGTCCACAAATTTCCAAAATAAATTGCCTCCGGAGGGGTTGCTAAGAGTGAAAATGTCTCCTTCAAATGTGCAGCTTCAAGCCTTACAGCATTTAAAGCAAATGTTCTAAAAGAGAAAATTGGCAAGGAGAAAGCCCGGGGAGAGGAATCAGCAACAATCACAGCAAAACAATTCTAGAAGGCATCTTCATTTTCATATGGCTAATTTGCATTTGAAACACTGAGAATCCCTATCTTGCTTGTACAAAAATGTGTACATATTAAATTACTTTGCACTTGAAAGAGCATTTTCCTAAATGTTTGGAAGATGATCCAATTTTAACTGGAGGACTTGTTTTCTTCCATCAGGTGTGGGGGAGATGTGGCATCCTGGTATGAGAGGCAACAGTTGATTCTAATAGCAGAACAAGATAAAAAAAATAAGAGAGTAAATTAAAAACAATTTCTATAGATACAGTTTGAGTTAAAGGTGGCTAAACAACAAGAAAAAGATATTATTACACCAAGTGTCAAAAAGATATCCATTTTCGAAATTAAGCTTGGTTATCTCTCTAAGAACTTGTGTTCCCATGAAACTTGAAAAGTAGCTTCTGCTACTTACTCTAGGATCCTCATGAGGTACCATAATACTTCAATATCCCTTACAATTACTTATATAAATATTTCTGAGCATCAAGTCACTGTTTAAAAAATGCCCACTGGCTCTGAAGCCATAATTCTAGGAGTCTATATGCTGCTTATTTCTAATCGTTAATAGCCAGGATATTAACATTGCAGCAAAGGTCTAACAAACCTTTACTGTTAACTCACTTATCCACTCTTGTTAAGATGACTTAGTATTAAGACAATTGTCATCCAGACAGAATTCTAGAAGCTGGGATCCGGGCTGAAAGTTGAGTTTACACTGAATTCTAAGATCTTTCCCTAACTTTCCATTTGTTTTCTGGCATGGTAAAATGTCTAGGGAGAGATGTGTCCTCAGAAAAAGAGAACTTGAAAGGCATTTGATGTCTTCTTCCTGATCTTGCTTCCTAGGAACTTGACCTAGAGGAGGGAGCTGTTTAGGCCCCACCTCATGGTGGCTGATGTGAGTAGGGCCTGTCACATAGTGTGGACAGGATGTCCTGAATTATGTAATCTTTGTAAATGAGATGGTCAACCCGGTGGCTTATTTCTTTTCCTCTGGTTGTTCCCAGCTTTGCGGTGGCTTTCCGACTGGGATCAGAGAGGCTCTGGAGAGGACAGGCAGCACAGACTTTGTGATGGAACCTAAATGAAGAGTAGCACCTGCCACCCTTGCAAGGTGAGTGTGGGCAAAGGTATCTACCTGGCAAGCAAGTCATCTGGGGCACCCAGAGGCAGGTGCACAGGGACTCTGCTCCCCAGTGAATGGTGAGAAAGAGCTGAGATGTTTTTCAGGAGAAGGGTCCTTTGCAAGTTTTAGTATATGTTCTGTTGAGGCGAGCACCAGGAGAATGGGTCCTTTCCCACACTACCCACACTGAACTTCACATGGTTGCCTCAACCTTATTTACACAAATCCTAATCTTTTTGCTTTTTATCTAAGCTGCATTGGGTTTGATTTGGAAACAACTAGCAATAAAAGGTAAAATGATACATGTCATAATAAACATCTGGATACCTAGAACCTTTGAACACAAAAGACATAATTTAGTGTTTTATCTTGAATATAAATTGGCTTTTTCTCAACCAACAAACTTCTATTTTAACTATGTTTTAATTATGAAGCCTTTAGAAGAAAAAGATTGCTTTCCTTGCTTATGGAGGACATGCTGATGAGAAGATAAAAAAACCAAAACCTTACATTGCAGGTAGCAGAACAGGCAATTGGGGCTGGCAATGTGATGACCAGGCAAAAGCAACATATGACAGTTGTATGTCTCTGACACCACATTGCTTTAATAGTAAGCAATGTTCCCCTATTTATTCATTAGAGAAGCATGGATTAATACCTTCTATGTATCAGGTACTGGACTTAGAAAATGAAGTTGAAAATCTAATCCCAAACAAACCTCTTTCCATTGAGTTTGTGCTTCCAAAATTTTCTAAAACCAAGGGAAGGAAGGAGAGTCTATCATACTGCTCAACTAGTGGTGACTACCGTGCTCTGCAATGCCAGCCCACTGCGGCACGGGATTTGGTTCCTAGGCAGCTGGTGTCATCCTTTGGTGTCTGGCAGAGCTTGTCCTTGGTTTCATGGGCTAAGCCAACATGGATAAAGAGATGGCAGAGTCAGCTTTCCATTGGTGTGGGGTCTGGACGCTACAGCAAGATACTGGGGTTCTTTTATCACAGTGGCTAATTCAATCCTGTCCTCATTAGGGTCCTATGGTGTAAGAGCTGGCAGGTGGCCGATCCAATCAGTGTAATGAGTTGTGCAACAATTTGATTCAAATGCTTCTGGAATAAGATTTCAACAAATCTGGGTGTTTTCATAGTTCTACGATTTTATTACATCAGTCATTAATGACTACTCATATGAAGACAACCAACCCAGGGTAAGGAAGGGTCTTAGTGTCCACCTACTCTCATATTGAAAGTTGGAACAACCAAACAGCCCTGTTTATAGCATTCTAACTTTTGAGTGGAAGTACCTGCTGACGTCTTCTGTTTCTTCCCTCATTACGTGCTTTCCTTTTAATCTGTTCCTCTTGAACAGAATCAAAGTAGGAGCTCTCCAGCAGTTGGGCGCAGGTTAACCTGTCATTTGGATTCATCTTCAGACACCCCTTTGGATAATGAAGAAAGTAGACATTACAAGAAGGGTTTATTACTGTGCCCTCGAATTTTGAATGGTAGCTGGATAAATACAAGTTTTAAAAGCCTTCAAAAGTCTGAATGCTATCCGGTACTTGAAACTTTTTAATAGTTAGAATAGTTCTTCTTTTGCTAGTTTGAATACTTTGAAGATGGGATGCCTGGCCAACCAGTGTCTCACACTGGCTCAAGTGCTTCTCCCCAGGACATCTTTCCATCCCAGTGAAGGCAAAGCAGAAACCTGCAGGGGTTAGCCGTCTGGCAGCTTGTCAGCAATGCAAAGTCTTAAGTCCTCCTCCAGCTCTGCCAAATCAAAGGCATTGGGAATGGGTGAGCGCCAGTGGTCTGTGCTTAACAAGCCCTCTGGGTGATGCTGATGCCCCTATGATCCAATTTGAGAACAACCAGTGGGTTAAAGAGAAGGCTGAGGAAGTGTGAACTCCAGTGATCTGCATGGGGAGCAACAGAATATGGATTCATACAGGAATAATGAGAGACAACAAAGAGAAGATGGCCCTGTGGGCCTCTGTGTTGAGCCTGTGGAAGCCGGTGGCTCAGCCACTGAGAACTGGGCTGGGAAGTGAGAAAGCAGCAGCCCAGGAACAACCCTGACAGTAGTTTCAGCCGAGGAGCCTTGATGGTCCCTGGCCAGAGAATGGGACAGGTTATCAGCAGCAGCCATATAACACGCAGGCACAGGCGAACTGACACTTCTGAAGACAGGCCAGTGTCACAGTTCTGGTTTGGAGGCAACAAGTGCTCAGCCAAGGGTATCACCCAGGGCTGTCCCAGCTGTGGGCTGCTCTGTGGGGCCTGCTCCTAAGCCTGGCTCCCCTCTGGTCTATCAGATCCCTGACAACACTACCTCCCTGTAGCCATTCTCCCCTGCCACTTGGAGTGGAAGGTGATGAGTGATATTCGAGGGACAGCACAGCCAGATTTACCTGTCCCTTCCCATCTACGACCTAGTCACATCTACCCCCAACTAGAGATCCCTGCCTTTACTAACTCTAATTGCCACAGGAACGTGTCTCTCTAAACTTTAATATCTATAATCAGATGGGAAGACTATTTTGAACACAAACCATGGCACTCTCTCTGTCTTACCTTTCAATTAAAGCATTTTTTTTTTAAGATTTCTCTTCATTTTACTGGAACTTAGAGAGAGAGAGAGAGAAAGAGAGAGAGATGGACACAAAGACTGATCTTCTATCTGACTGACTCCCCAAAAGCCCACGACAGACAGGGCTGGGCATGGCCAGGAGCTCCAGCTGGGTCTCCCATGGGGGGTAGCAGGGATCCAAGTCCTTAGACCATCACCCGTTACCTCCTGTGGTGTGCATTAGCAGGAAGCTGGATCAGAAGCAGGGTAGGACAGAAACCCAGGCACCCTAACATGAGATGCAGGCATCCCAAGCGGAGTCTTGGCTGCAGTTCCAAGCACTTGATCCTTTTCATAATTTCCTGGCTGCTGCCTCCATCATTCCATTCAAGTAGCTCCTTATCAGACCCAGGGTCTCTACTTCTTACATGCAGAAGGAATTTTGAGTTTTCATTACAGTTGTGTTAGACACGACTGACAATGTCCTCCTCCTTAAAAGTCCTTGGCATCTCTGTTAGTTTACTTTGCTTCTGTCCACCCCTCAGCTGCTCCTTTTCAAACCTGAATTTGCCAGTTTACCTTCTTTTCCATTAACAGTTGGATGGAATTCCTCAAGGTTCAATTCTAGAGTCCTCATTCGTTTTCTTCATCTAGTCTCAGCATTTAGCTGATCTCCCTGACACCCACAGCTTCAGTTACCAAGACTTGTGAGAGATTTCCACAGCTAAAATTCTTGCCTCTGTACAACTGCTTACGGTGCTTCTTCATCTCAATAGCATTGTTAAGGGTTTAACTGTATCTCCTCAAAAGACTGTTCAAGTCCTGACTCCCAGTATTTCAGCATGTGACCTTCTTTGGAAATAAGGTCTTTGCAAACGTAGTTAAGATGAGGTCATAAGAGGGTAGCATGCACCCCTAATGCAATTATGACTGGTGTCCTTAGAAGAGAAAGGAGAACAGGATAAAAACAGAGAGAATGTCATGTGGTGACGGAAGCAGAAATTGGAGTTACAGTGTTACAAGCCAAGGAATTCTCAGGGCTCCTAGAAGCTAGACAAGGCAAGGGAGAATCTTCACCGAGAAAACCAATGCTAGAAAACAGATACAAGCCCCGTGACCTTCCATTAGCCTCTACTTTACTCCCCAGAGACAGATAATAAAGACTCATCAGTTGTACTTAAAACATATATATCCCTAATTCATGCATGTTTACATGAGCTTCCAATCTACTGAAATCTAATTCATCACTAAACACCCATGGGCTTTTATGTTACAGCCATGTTTAGATTCTGAGATCGTTCATGCTGAGTTGCTCCATGGGTTATGGCCTGGGGCAATGCACTCTGGGATCAGTTTAATGAGCAGTGAGATGAATTGTGTGTGTGTGTGTGTGGAAAGAGAGAGAGAGGTTGAGGATTTTGTGTCTCTGCCTTCCTGGAGTTACAGCTTTCACTACATTAAAGGGCAAAAGAATTTTCAGAAGTACTCCCTTATTGAAGTGCTTCTATCCTAGGAAAGGTTTGGATGAGACAGGATATGAGAAACTGAGCCAGCAAAGTCCAAGCTTGTATCTTTTTCTTGAACTCCAAATTTCACAGAAAGCCCTCTAGCAGAATTTCTAATCATCTATAGACGCCTTCTTTGATGAGCAAACTAAACCGATCTAGGAGAGTCATCAATATGGAGATGCATGGATAATAAAGAATAAAACCGTGATCTCTTTTGTATCTGATGAAGACCTGCCACACATTGGCCGCTGCAAGTACTGTCAGTGGTCAACATTTCCACCTCCTGAGTAGGACTCTGGCCCAGTCTTGTGGGGTATTTACTGTTACAGTAGCCAGTACTTACTTGTTGTTAAAGATATCCCAACCGCAATTAATTACAAAGTTTCTTTCATCTAACACAGGGCTTCAGACCAGCCCAGCTCTGGCCATTGTGAAATTTGGGAGAGTGAAACAGCAGATGGAAGATTTTCTTTTTCTCTCTCTCCCTGGTAACTCTGACTTTCAAGTAAAATAAATCTTTGAAAAAAAAAAAAAGACACAAATTGCAATGTCTCCACGAATAGAGATTCTGTTTCTGTAGATTTGGAGCCAGGTACAGGAATCTGTATTTTTGAAAAGGTGCCAGGCCATGCTGATGAGTAGCCATGTTTGGAAACATTGTTGTAGATAAACTTAATTGATTGTTAAAGACAGTGTGTCCTTGTGGGTCAAGCACGAATGGCAGGTGGATCATAGGTAAGTATCTTTTGATATTTTCATTAGAATTTGTCCTTTACTCATCTCTCTTGGGTTTGATGTTTGGGCTAGGTCTTCTGTCTGTATGGCTCTGACTCTGTTTGGCCTTCTATTAATCATAATGGATCTGCTAGAATAATTCCTGCATAAACCACTGGTGCTCTTTTAGCTGTAATTGTTTTACAATTTCTAATAATTTTCAATGACTGTATTCTACTTTAGCATTATTTGCCCTAATTCCCATTCCTCCTAGAATTACCACCTACTTCCATGATCATCTGCAATCAACAACAGTTATAATTGATTTGTGAATACCTTCATGAAGTTCAAAGCCACAGGATGAGCATAGGAGAACTTTTCCTCAAGAGTTTCCTGTACAACAAAGTGAAGGGTTTCAGTATTACATGACAATAAAGTAATGCATATTTTGTATGTATTAGTATATACATACTAGTATATATTAGTGGATACATAATATTAGTATATACATACATAGTATCTATGTAGTAACTTCAGGGACAGAGTTGTACTACGCTTTTAAAGACTGTTACACATTGCACCTTTATATAATTTCACACTACAGGGTGAAGGTTTGAGAGGTGTTAAGACAGAAGTTCATTTCCTGAGGCACTTTGGCAGGGGCTGCATCAGTGTGGGCCCTCAATGCGCTCCTGTGAAATCCTGCCATGTGGCCTGGTCTTTTTCTGAGCCAGTTTTGAACCTTTCTGAGCATACACTGGGACCCACGTGTAAGAGTCCCACAGAAATCAACAGAAACAACAGTATTATGGGAAGGGCAAGTTTTAACGTAGTGGTACCACTCTGCTTATTTAGCTAGGCAGCGGGTGCCCGTGCGTTCGTTGCATTTTATTCATTAAACATATACACACATTATTGAATAACCTTTGCCCTGATTTGATCTTTGACTTAAAAAAAAATTATTTAGGGATTTCTGACGGAGAAGAAATCCAATATAATTAACAAGGTATTATTTGAAACAATTAATCTTAAATGTACAGCATCCAGACATTGGACCATCGGAACCTCCAATTGGGACGTGTCCTAACTCACATTCTAGCTTCCTAGACGTTTCCTTGTTCCTGTACCACCTGTCTTTTTCCCAATAGCTCTTTCTTTCTGTAGGCTGATTCCAGATCCTAGTGGGTCTAACAGGTCACAGCCTGAACTCAGGCACACTGAAGTACTGAATATCTGCAGAGAATAAGAGGGTCAGGCAGCCCCTGATGGGTTCAAGACCAAGGTGGAGGTTCCGGCTGGGTATGGAGAGTTTGGCTGTGCTCTGCAGCCTAAGGGACAACAAAGGACCATTCTGCAGCATGACTGGCCTTCCACAGGAAAATATCAATCAGGGAAAAAAAGGGTTTTTATCGATTTGCGCTCTGTTTCACAAGTTGGAAAGATTTAAGTGGATGCATTTCTTCAAAATAAAGATTACTGTAAGCACTGTTGGTAAGGATGTAATTATTTCAGGGAAAGTGAACCTAGCACTTTGCCCGTAAGGGTTAAGGTGTATGAGTGAGGCATAAAAGTGCCTGCCTTTTGAAATCAGAATAGTGAGGACAGGCAGATATGGAAAGCATTTTCTTGGCAGTTTTTTTTTTTAAATGCAGTTTCTTCAAAATATGTCAGTATGTCCTAAGAAAACAGAAACCAAAAGTCTAAATGTTAAAAATGAAACAACTCCTTGTGAGACAGGAATCATGCAAACAATACTGCACCCCAGTGAGGCTCACCATGTCTTCTGGTTCAGGGATGCTGATGCCATGGAAAAACTGGTTACTCTTAAAGATGGACTGATGTCGTGGGATTAGTTTCCCTGTAAGATACAACCCGGCAAAACACATGATGAAGGTGGTCACCAAGAGCGAAATGCAAGCCTGGCTGCTTTGTGAGGTGCATGATGGTTATTCGCCATGCTTCAAACTACATCTCATCCAGCCACCAACAGTCTCACCACAGTGGTGGCCATGTCTTTATCACCACCGCACCTGTGGGGACAGCGCTTCTCAGGCAGGTTCCATAGTGGGGCCCAGAGCACACGGTGACTAAGTGACAGAGCAGAGATTTAAGCTTAGGTGGGACTAATGTCTGTCCACTGTACATTTCCAGAATGTACCAACAACACACACCAAAGACATGGCCTGCAGCCACACTGTACCCCATGTGTTCATGCAGTGTTGTACAGGACAGGGCATCGTCCAGCAGCCAGTCAGGACAGCCAACTACTCCTGAGCGTGGAGGTTTCACCTTCTTTGTACCCACATGACTGGAGGGAAGCTGCAGCTGACCTTTGGGCTATACTCCATTTTCATCAGCTGGAGATGGATAACGACTGCCAAGAAAGCTGACACATGATTGAAAGGTCATGAAAAACACATGATCAGAAAAAACTAAATCTCAAGTCCCATTCCTGTTTCATTTTTAATTGGCTGTATGACTGTGTCAATGACGGAGGCTCCCTGAGTCTCAGTTTCCTCATGGATGAAATGAGTACAATGAAAATGAAAACTCTTTTTAAAAGATATATTTTACTTGAGTCAGTGTTAGAGAGAGAGAAGGATCTTCACCTGCTGGTTCACTCTCTAAATGGCCACAATGGCCAGAACTGAGCTGGTCAGAAGCCAGGAGCCAAGAGCGTCTTCTAACCCTCCCAAATGGATTCATGGTCCCAAGTTCCTTTTGCATGACAACAGCAGAATGAAGTAGGTGAAATGCTATAGGCCTGCAAATCCTAAAACATTTATCATCTGGACTTTTGCTGAGCCTGATCTAGAGTTCTCAGTGAACAGAAGTTGTGTTTGGTCAAGTATCTCTTAGACTAAGCTCTAGGCAGCTGACTCACACCCATATTTCTGTCTCAGCCCTCCAGGGAAAGTAAATGTATAGTTTAGTCCATGGCTAACTGACCCTTTTCGGAAAAATATTTGAAAAGTCACTAAGAGAGCAGTTAAGACTATGTATTGGGAAAAGGACTGGACTTTGGCTACAATCCCAAATCAGATCAAGATAAACAAGCAATAAAGCCCTTGTTTGGGTTTGCATTATAATAGGTGTGCAAATACTATAACCATTTAGCAAGCCTGTAAGCCACAGAATGCAATTCATACCCAGTGTTCTGATGATCAGATAAAGTTGGTCCACATCTGATTTTCCTGGCCAGAGTGGCTGGCCTGTCAGGAGCTCTGCAAAAACACAACCGATGGCCCACACGTCCACTGAAGAACCATACTGGGTATCACCCACGAGAAGTTCAGGGGCTCGGTACCATCTGGTAGCAACGTAATCAGTGTAGGCATCTCCTGGAGCTGCAAATCATCCAACAGCTCAGGTGAGTCACATTCTCCCGACAGGTGAACCTGCGAACTTCACTCCCAAGGGCCGGGCAGGCATTCAGCTTTTAGTGGCTCTTGGGAGAGCATGGATGTCTAGCAAAGCAGGGCTCTGAGTGGACAGCTACGCTCCACACTAAGAAGGTAAAGTCAGCTTTCGAGAGCTCCCTCAGTAGTTCGCATCTACACCATCATGTGTAGCATCTACACCATTGTGCACACAGGGAGGAAATGAGTTTTCTTGTAGCCGTAACTTTAAGTTTAGACCAACTTAAACTTAACAATAAGTTAGCACAGTGAACCGCAGAAACAGAAGACACCTGGTTAGCACAGTGTTTATAAAGGATTAAACTGTGTTTTCCCAAAAGATGGGTCTGAATTCCTAGCTAGGTTAGGGTGGAGCCTCCAGTGACTGGTGCCCTCCCAAGGAGGTGATGCAGCTTGGTCTCTGGAGGAGCTGGTCCACTGTTTCCTGCAGCATTCTGTCATTTCACATTCTCACCAACGATGCCTGAGGGCTCCACTTTCTACATGTAGTCATCAACCGTTGTTATTTGGTTCTTTTTGTGTGCCCTTTTTTCCCCTAATAGCTGTCCTTAATGGGTATTAAATGGCATCTCCGTGTGGTTTTGATTTGCATATCGGTTAGTGACACTGGGCATCTTCATTTGTTTATTGACCAAGAGAGGTGTCTTCTGTTCTGCGGTTCACTTTTCAAATGGCCACAATGGCTAGGGCTGGGCTAAGTAAAAGCCAAGAGCCTCCCACAAGTGTGACATGGCCCAAACAGTGGCACCATCATCCACTGCTCCCCGAGTTGAGCCAGAAGTGTAACAGCCAGGACTTGAACTGGCACCCATATGGGATACTGATGCTACAGTTGGGTCTCGTCCGCTATGCCACAATGCTGGCCCCATAACTGGAATTTCTGAGGGTTCACCACCCAGACACTTTTGGAGTATTCATGCCATCAAAACTTCCAAGACTAATGACCCTCCTGCTGAACTCAGCTTCAAGATTCTTCAATCAGAGAGACTGAGTTCAAGAAGATTATAGAATGCTCAGCAGGAAAGCCAGAACACATATTCATTAAAAAAAATCAAATACAAATATTTTCAGCAGCACTGCTGGCTAATGAGGAAAAATTCCTCAAAGGAATCCAATGTTTGTGTTCTGAAGGTAATGACTTGTATATGTAAGATTTTTTAAAATTTCCTTTTGATAGAAAACTGGGTGTGTTTTTTTTTTTTTGATGTATTAGATTAATTTCCAAGGGGGGAAAAACCCCAAATCTCCAACTCTGCATCTTTGGGTGGGGATTTATTCTCCACCTCATTTCATTAGCAGAGCAGTTGCGTTCCGGCCATTTCCTCTGTGTTTCCTGGCTAGCTGAGATTTTACCATGTAGGTAAGCTACCTTTTCACTTCCTTGTACACCCCAGTTTCCCTTCTCACTCATCACCTCCTAAACATTTTCTGACACCACTGAACATTCTGCAAGCACCCATGCTGATAGGGGCCTCTTATTTCCTGATGTGGATGCACTGTGGAGCTGTATTCCTAACTCACAGATTCGTTCCCGGCATTTGTGTGTCTCTCTCCAGCGCGATTAGCCTCAAGATCTCGTTCTCATACAACCCCAAGCACAGCGGCCTCAAAAAGACTTCATCAGTTTTTATTCTTGCCCAGCTCTCCCAAATGCATTGTTACATCACCTGGGTGTGGATCACAGCAGGACACGGACTGTGTACCATCTCATACGGTAGCATGGGTGTTGCTAGGATGCCTGCTGCACAGTTCTAGATTCGGGGACAGTCCATTACTGGCACCCATGCCCTTTCAGTACCTCCATGCCTGGGATGGTTTCCTTTTGCTTAGCATCATCTCCGTGCCTTCTCTGTCATCTTTAGTTTATCCTTCTAGTGTCATTAGTTCCACGAAGTTTTCTTCCCTCCCCATCCCCAACTCTCCTCACTCTCACGGACATCTCCCTCCTGGGAACTGGCTGCAACGTCACTTGAGTACTTTCATCCTGCCAACTATCTCCTATTATTCTCTTGTTTCTGCTACTTCGGATGGTAAGTGCGTGCAGATCGGAAATGCATCTTGCAATTCCTTTCCTCTCTGCGGGATACAGTGCACAGAGGTACCTTCCAATCCATTCTAGCTGAACAGAATGGGGTTGAAGTGCGCTACTATAAGTAATGTCCTGACCACAAGTCTAAAGGGAGATTTTCCTTCTTGAATAACAACAGCACAATACTTCGCTTACATTCAATATCTAAAGTAAGAATTTAAATTACAGCAGTTTATAATCATCACAAATGGATAAAGCTAATAAAAACAGAGAAAAAGAAAAAAGATTGCTGCCACTCACTCAGAATTCGTGCAAAGCCGAAGTCACAGATCTTGATTATTCCTTGCTTAGTGATTAAAATATTCTCAGGCTTCACATCTCTGTGAATACACTGCAAAACAATATTTGCTTATTTTCCTGAGACATCAAAATGACAAAGAATTAAACACTGTCTGTTTAAATGTTTGATAAACATAGCCTGTGAGATAAAAAACAAATGAGTTTCATTTTTGTAAGACAACTTAAATTGGTAATTCAATTTAAATAGGCAAGTATGTCTTATCAAAAAAGTCCAAGTGTTATACTACTGAACAAATTGAAAAAAAAAATCATACTTGAAAATTGTATCGGGCCCGGCGCGGTGGCACAAGTGGTTAAGGTCCTCGCCTAGCACGCCCGGGATCCCATATGGGCGCCGGTTCTAATCCCGGCAGCCCCGCTTCCCTTCCAGCTCCCTGCCTGTGGCCTGGGAAGGCAGTCGAGGACGGCCCAAAGCTTTGGGACCCTGCACCCGCGTGGGAGACCCGGAAGAGGCTCCTGGCTTCGGATCGGCATAGTATCGGCCCGTTGCGCTTACTTGGGGAGTGAATCATCGGACGGAAGATCTTCCTCTCTGTCTCTCCTCTCTGTATATCCGCCTTTCCAATGAGAAAATAATAAAAATAAATCTTTAAAAAAAAAAAAAAAGAAAAGAAAATTGTATCGATTTCTTTAAGGTAGGAAGGATCATGCAGTCATTTCTTTTGCTTTCTACTGGATCCTGTTTGATCTCTAAGACATAAACCCTAAATGACATAGGACTCTGAGTAACAACTGATGTCAGTTAGGATTCAGGCACAATAACTCCCACCGATCTGAGAAGCTAGAGAAGCATTTCATTGACTACAAAAGCCCAAATCCTCCTCTAGGGAGAGCGACCCGTTACTTATCTTCTGGGTCGGGACAATCCAGCGTGAAAGGGTGCCAACATTGGCCCCAGTACAACAGGCTGGGAGTGGAACCATGCAGGGTGAGCTTGGATGCAGAGTCCGTCACCTGCCTGCTGCAGCATACTCACATCTCACAATCGAGGAGTGGCTTTGCAGATGTGGGGCTGCTGTGAAGAAACACCCTATGCCCTGCTCTGCTATCTTTCCAGTTATCTACACCTCCTCCTCTGCAAAAGAGGAAAATAATAATAATTTCCTTCTCCCTCCAGCCCTCAGAGCTCTGGCCTTCTCAAGGCATTTCCATATGTAATGTTCCAACCTTGCAACAATTCTACGATTGCAGGAGCCTGAAGGTACTTCCGCATGTATTATTTCACCCTTGCAGCAATTCTGTGATTGCAGGAGCCTGCTTTCCTCTGTCTGGAACAAGCGTACAGAGTCAAACGCTCTCTGCTTCTCTCTGTCACCTGTCAGCTCTTCCACTACCCTTGCCAAGCACACAGTTTTGAAAAAAAAAATTTCTTTGCTTCTATAACAGCTGTCTAGGAAGAGGGAAGACTGAATTGTAAGTTTATTTTAGGTACTAGTAAGGGAATCTGGATCAATTACTGCCAACTGTTTACAATGTATATGAGCAGCAGTTAAAAGAAACACCTGTAAGCCTCTTAAGAGCCTAAGGCTTTAGATAATAATTTTTGAAAAGTGTAATTTTAAAATATAACTTCTACAAGTACATTGGTGCAAGTTATGTCCATCAAATGAGTCTGTATAAAATTTCAAAATTTCTGGAGCAGAGAAAATGGCCTGACAAATAAGCAGGATTACATTGGTACTTTTCAGTCTACTCAAATACTTTTGGGCCTAATGCAAATCCTTGTGAAATTTACCACATTTTTAACTAAAAAAAATATAAAGGGAGATGCAATATTGACATGTGCCAAAGAATACAAGCTTTCATTTTTGTAGATACAGATAAGCTATTAATAAAGGATATAATAATGTATAAAGAAAAAGGAGTCAAAAATAATTGAAGCAGTAAGACACAGAGCTTCGTGGAAGAGCTATATAGACACCCAGCCCTCATTGTCTCACCACAAAACCACATGTAAATTGAACTCTGCAAAGATCATTTTGCACCAAAGAACAAGAAACATGCAAGTCAGTATAGCAGAAGAATTTTTAAAAAGTCGGGTTTCACACTTAGGTTTTGGCAAACACTGCTAAGGTTGGGTCATGGTGACTGATGTAGCATCATTTTTATTTGGTTCTCAAGTTGGCTTCAAGAAGAGGTATCCATGATATTTAAAATTTGACCTCTTCAAGTTTAGGAGTCATTTCAAAAACCTCCCACACCAGCGATTTTGCTTCTTAAGCCCTGACTAAACAATAGTGTTGTGGGCCCGTATTATAGTAGCCGTAGGTTAGACTAGTGTCTGAGACGGCAGTGTTTCATATGGACACTGCTGACTTCAGTGTCACCTGTTCTGCTTCCAGTCCAGTTCCCTGCAGCCAAAGATGGCCCAGACACTTGGGTCCCTGTACCCACACTGGAGACCCACATGAAGTCCAATTTATTCTTATCTTTAAGAGACCATCTCTTGTCTGCACCAGTTCTAGAAGTCATCCTTTCCCTGCTGCCCTTTATTCTATTCTGAGTTTGCCAACATGTGTCTTGTACTCATTCTCATTTTATTTAGGAAATTTGCTGTGTCAGTAAAAATCCCTGAAACCAAGTGGTGTCAGAAGTGCTGTGTCGGTAAGTGAGGGGACACTCGCATCGACCCTCCTGCGCTGCACAGCAGTCAAGGCAGACCTGCCCTGAAATGTGCTTTAAGCAGTACAACCAGGGCATCCTGCCAGCCATGCTTCACGGTTCTCCCCTGAATAAATTCCTTGCCATTGTGTCCCAGCGTAGACTAAGCCTGAGACAGCACCTTGCACGCTACAGCAGGAGAACGAGCTGACTGGTTCAAACCAGAGTGCTTTACCGGCCCGTCCTGGTGGGTGCTGCTACTGGTCGTCCTTCCCCGCTGTGCTCGGCAGGACTGTGTTCATTCTCTCAGCTGTGTGCGTGTGCCTCTGGTGATGGGAAGCCCTGAGCTCCTAATGTGAGGGTTAGAGTCTCTGTCCACATGACCCTAGTCTAAAATCTTCCACTTGGGAATTCAGCTTCCATTTGTGGTGCTGGTATCCCTTGTTGGCGGGCTCTGCATTCCCAACCCAATTTCCTGCAAATGTGCCTGAGTGACAGAGATGGCCCTAGTACTTGGGTTCCTGCCACCCCTCCAGGAGATCTTGAGGGAATTTCTGGTTCCTGGCTTCCAAGTGATCCAGCCCTGGCCATTATGGGCATCTGAGGAATGAGCTAGGAGATGAAACTTCTCTGTTTCTCAATCTTCCCTTCCCCCTCTGCCTCTCAAATGAGCAAATCTGCCTTAAAAAACAAACACACAAAAAACAAAACAAAAAAGCCAGAAATCTTTAAGAGCAATCACAAACCTTTTGGCAACCATAGGAGCACTCTGACCCTTCCTAAGCAACAGACATGGGTTCAATTCAGCATCACGTTGACCAAGAAGGGCACAGTCTATGTATACCAGGAGAAACGTTCTGTGTGTTGTGAACAGCCTCCCTGGACCATGCACAGGGAATAGAAGCTTTTGGTTTGTTTTAACAAAATCCTTACTGACTCTCCTACAATGAACCACCATTTTGTATTTTCTTTTTCTGCAGCCCTGGACTATTATGGTAGACACGTGGCTGGCAGCAAAACTGCCCAGATGGCCGTCTGCAGTGCGCCTCGGCGTTTCTTCATCTAGGCACAAACTCAAAAGCCTTACGTACTCTGCAGAGCTGTCATCACAGCCAAAGCATCCAGGAGCCAACTTGATGAAGCTCCCACTGGTCTAATTAATGGGATAAATTCAGCATCCGAGGGAACACGCACATCCAAGGATTGAACACTTCATATACACACAATCCGTGCTCACAAGGATGCCCTTCCCTCCAAATCTCTCATGGTTCAGTGCTGGAGGTCGCCGACATCCAACCCATCATTCTGAGGAGTAACAAATAAAGCACCGTGTCTTTAACAGCAACCTGAGTTCATGAGGTTAGTTTCTTTCTCATGCAATTCCAATTAATATATGCAGACTGAACAATGAAAGAGAAAATGACCATCTTTTACCCTTAAGAAATCCTGGATACAGGCAACAGTCATCACCGGACACTTAGGCTCTCAGGGAGAAGGGAGGCGAGGGAGACAGCCAACAGGGGAGCTCATGCCGGAACATGACCAACAGTGGGACAAAGAGCCACCATATGCCTCCCGTTGGTGATGCAACCAGGAGGTTACAGCTCTACATATGAGGAACTTTCTGAAAAAACTCAAATGCAATGTAAAGTCTCTGAGTAACAACTCTCAGGAAATGTGGGTGAAACACCCGATTGTATTATACACCAGGAGTGAGCCATCAGCTCATTTATATAACTCAGGGTGTGCAAAGCATGTTTCTTGGGTCAGCGACTTCAGCATCCTCAGGGAAATCAGAAATGCAGGTTCTTTGGTTCTGCCCAGACCTATTGATCAAATTAGAAACTTGGGTGTGGGGTAGGCAGGGAATAGCAAGCTCCTGGTGATCCTGATGCATACTCCAGTTTGAATTCCAGGTGCTGAGGAACTTCCTGGATATTTAGATCCATTTGGGCATATCATTCAAGGGCCATACAAAACATTAACTTAAACATTAGCCTGGTGTAGGTTTGCTGAGCTCTGCCTCTGTGTGCTTGCAGGAGCAGATCAAATGGTTCTCTGGGTCTTACATAGCCCATGGGCCAGACTTTTCCCAAAATCAACAATATAGAAAATGAAATCAAAACATTTCTCCCACCCCTCTGGGGAGAGGGAAACTGTTACAGAATAAAAAACTTAAGAGGCATAATTTAAAGAACCAAGTATCATGGCACATCTGATCTGAAAACTTATTTTAACCTAGTTTGATATGGAGGAAGATGGTTGTGGTGTGATGGTCATGGAGGGGAGAATGGGGAGGCAGAAAGGGGGAGGGGGAATCCCTGTACCTACAAAACCATATCATGGACAATAACAATAAAAATTAAAAAGTAGTCATTAGTAATGCAGCAACAGGAGGCATTAAGTTTATACAAACTTTTAATTCACAAAGAATTAGTAATCTGGTTCTTACATAACCTGAAAAAGGACCTTATACTACACGTCCTTTTCTCATGTCCCGGGATTTTCTTTTGCCTTGCTACTCTGATTCTTTCTTTCCCCCACCACACATTCTGCCTGCTTCCAAAAGACCTCTGAGGTTTTGGGAACAAAAGAGGCATCATGAAGGAATAAACACCTTAGAAAAACGGTACTTACGTTATGCTTATGACAGAAATTAAGAGCTTGAAGTGTCTGCCACAACACACTTTTAATCACTCCATCTGTAACACTGGGGGAAAAGACAAAAAGCAAAAAGGCCATGAAAACTCCTAGGGCAGCAGGCCAGGGGCAAGGGCTGGGAACTAGAGGAATGGTGGGCCAGCTCACAGTCAACCCACACAGCGCCAAGGGGCACCCCAGGAGGAGAGAGCGCCGGACGGAGAATTACCAAGGGACAGCCATGCCAAATGACTGTTATTATTTTGGGGTAGCAAGATTTTTACTTCTTACTTTTCTTTATTGTTTGAATTTCTGTGATAAGTGTGTTATCATTTTACATTTGTAAAGATTGAAATTATTAAAAATTACTTAAGTGTAAGTTAGTAAAGCAGCGTTCATTAAAACTCTCTACTTCTTGCATCAACAGTCTTTTTAAAAAGTTTTAATAAAATTTACTTTTTTTTCAAAGTTATTTATTTGAAAGGAAAAGTAACACACAGAGAGAGAAAAAGACAAAGAGACTGATACTCTATGCACTGGTTCTCTCCCTGTTGGCTCCAATGGCCAGGGCTGGCTGGGCCAGGCTAAAGCCAGCTGGTTCTCCCAAGGAGCCTGGCCATTTTCCACTACTTTCCCTGGCATTGGGATGGATATCTCAAGCAGTGGCTTAACCTGCTGAGCAATAAGGCCAGTCCTTCTTCATTTAAAAAAAATTATTATTCTTTTTTTAATTGCAAAGTCAGATACACAGAGGAGGAGAGACAAAAAGGAAGATCTTCCAGCTGATGATTCACTTCCCAAGTGACCGCAATGGCTGGAGCTGAGCCAGTCCGAAGTCAGGAGCCAAGAATTTCCTCCAGCTCTCCCATGCAGGTGGCAGGATCCCAAGGCTTTGCGCCGTCATTAACTGCTTTCCTGGCCACAAGCAGGGGGTTGGATGGGAAGTTGGGCTGCGAGGATTAGAACTGGTGACCATATGGGATCCCTGTGTTTAAGGCAAGGACTTTAGTCGCTAGGCCAGCATTACTATGAAATTTCAAATAAATGCATTTGTTGAGGTGGGGAGGGAATAGGAGGAATAGGATGGGGAGGAGGGGGGAGGGTTGGGAGGGATGAGGCAGGTGCAGAAAGCCTCTAGGTGGCACCAAAAATCCCCTCCAAGAATAGCCACCCTGGACTCATTTAAGTGAGGGCCACCAAACAGAAGACAACAAACACAGAGTTTTACCCCAAGCTTCTCCATCACCACTGCTTAAGCTAGGCACGTCTTAGTCTTGCCCTACTTCCCTGGCCCACTCCCCTGCAGACCAGCGAACCTCGCCTGGGAGCAGACCCCAATAAACACTAGTTTTACCATCATTCTGGTCTTGGTAGCCCTGCTGTTTTGGTGCAATTTTTTTTTAAAAAAATTTAACAGCATTCATATGGCTGGAAGCTTTTCAAGTATAAAAAGTGTGTTCAGGAAGACTGAACATCAGCCTAAGCACCCGTTTACCCTCTGTAATTTACCCTGTGTCCTTCAGAAACATCTGATGCAAACAGAACCAATATTAACACGTACACATGTGTTTCAGGGGCTGTCACAGATCTCATTACATGGATGTATTTTAATGTATTGAATGATTTGCCTCAATGATGAGCAGTTCGGTTTCTAGAAACACTTGAAATCAAGATCTGTAAGTATTCGCCTTACTGTGGTTGCAAAATTATCTCATTAGGATAAAGCTTAGAAGTGGGAGAGGTCTGGGACCAAAGGTACTTATTTATTTATTTATTTATAATATATTTTTATTGTGAATTATGTGGTACAATTTCGTATAGACTGGGATTCCCCCCACAAACTCACACCCCCGACAGATTTCCCCTATTTTACTAAAATGGTGCTGTCCTTCGTAAGGAATCATCATTCTATCAGTCTCTTATGTAAGTGCAGGTACCTTTTTATTAAGATACTGGGTTAGTTCGCATGTAGATTTTTGTCTCGCCACCATTTCTGCATCTGCCCACCGCTACTACTGTGTCCTATTACAACATCCCACACATGCTTAAAAGCAAGCACAGGGTGGAGCGCCCTCTTTAAAAACTCAACAGGCATTTTATACAATGCATTCTTGGCAACAGAACATGGACAACATTTACCAAACATGATAAGCAGAGTTGTCAGTCTCTTTTATATAAAGGACAGCCAGATTACAGAAATGAAGACAGAAAATTTTAAGAAAACGTGTATTTTCCTAAAGAGACTGCTTCCACTGGCAAAGATCTTGACTAGCCTCTTGTTCAGTCGTCCCAAAACAATTCTTCCTGTGATGGGGGGATTTGGCTTCCACTTTGTGAAGAGAACCTCCATTCTGTATACTTGCATTTTTGCTTTAATGTTTTCTATAGAAACAACTTTTGGTGTTGTAGAAGCTGCTTCCTGTTTTTTTGAAGGATTCTTGACCCTTGGGCCCTGTGTTGATGATTTTGAGTCTTTTGCATTCTGGTTTGATTTTTATGCATTTTTGACTGGAGTATCTCATGCAGATTTCTTTGTTGGGGATTTTTCTTCAGCTTCTTTCTCATCTTCATCTGCAGCAAGCTTTACTTTTTCCTGTAGTACCTGGCTGCCATCTCCAGGGGGGCAGACTGCTTTCCAGACACTCTGAATAGCGTCACATCTTCTGGGTGTTTCTCTGGTTCTTCCTCTTCCTTGACAGCTATGAAGTGATTCCCATGAACACACAGAGGCCCCGAGCCACACTCCAACCTTAAGACAGCAGGTGGTGTGATTTCAAAACCCCCAACACAGGCTGTTGCCTGAATAGCCATTTTCAAAGTTGCCACAGTGACTTTGATTGGACTGCCTTTACAACTCATGACCTCTGCTTCAACAAGGCACACTTCATTGTGGGCACCAGCGCCTAAACTGACTGTTTTTTAAAGATAACTGGTGCTCACTCTTATCACTGTCCATTTTCAAGTGGTAATTGTTATTTACTTCACAGCCTAAAAAGATAGCCCTGGGGCCTCAGGGAGCCCATCTGTGTCCATGAATCCTTCATGTTATGGCGGGATGAACTGAGGTGGGAGAGAAGGCAGACTAAGATGCCCACTGCTGCAAAGAGCAGCCATGCAGGATGGAATCACGCCAGGTCACATGGTACATTTTGATCTTGAACCACTGAACTGGAGATGCACACCTGAGACCTGGTTTGGCAGGGGACAGGGGGTGGGGAGGTTGCATACTTGGAAGAGGGCTGTGAATTCAGCCAGTGCGTGATCGTGGGAAGCACTGAAGCATGTGCTGGGGTTATTTGGTAATGGTTTTGTGCACCTGGTATAAAGGCAGACTTACAACCAAAGAGGGGCCAGACAGAAGAAAGGTCCCATAAGAATGGGAAGCTGAGCTTCATGTCCTACACTTGATCTTAGCCAAAAGGTGGAGAAGCAATTGAGCTTCATGTCCTTGGCAGATTTTCCATGCTGTGATTTTTCACCGGGGATCTGGGAAATGTGCACTTTGGGAGAATTCTGCTTTGTGTATCCATCTCTGTAAGTTAGAGCAACTGCATTCTCTTTAGCTTTTCTGTTGGTGCTTTTCCATAATGCACATCACTGTCCCATGACGATACTTTCACATTTACCCACTGCCAAACTACCCTCTCTGGGGAAGGTTATACCCACTTCTACTCCCACCCAACATCTGTGCAGGCAAGTCCCTTGCTTCTACTGTCTTGCCAACATTTGGGTTTGCCAATGTTACATTTGCCAATCTAGTTAATGAAAAATATGTCTTATTTCTGGTTATTACTTGTTACTCAAGTTTTAATGGTTATTAATTTTCACAAGGCTATTGGACACTGTGGCTCTTCTCTTGTGTGTTACCACTCATTCTCTGACTGGGTTGTTAGCTTGAACCTTAATTTACAGAGACTCTGAGTTTAGCAGGGTCTGTCAGAGGCAATGCATACTTCTTCTTTGTGGATTGTCAGCTCTATTGATGGAGATGGGGATGTTTGTGTATTTTCCAAGGGTTTATTTTACCACGTATCATTTTACAAATACCAAGGTATCATTAATATGTAACTTGTCATTTTGAGGTTTTAAATAACATATTAAGGTCACTTTTGAGGACCTGGCCACAAGATGTGATCCCGTGAGGCTGGACTGTATATGGAGAAGCCGAAACCACTACAGGGAGGGAGGTCTTCTCACAACGGTTTGCTGAACTTACATCACAGTCATGGTGGCATGCCCTTGATCCCAGTGATCTGGTCCAACCATTTACTTTGACTTTGCTAATTACTAACGTGATGGAAGCATCCAATTCCCAGTAGGAAGTCTAGGAGAGCAGCCCTTTGGCCTGAGAGGATGCCTGGCTGAAGCACGGCTGGACCTAGTGGCCTAGCGGCTGATGCCTGGCTCCCACCCGGAGCTGCCTGAGCTTCACTTCAGGATCTGGCTCCTGACAGGCCCTCAGAGGCAGTGGTGAAGATTCAAGCATCCAGGAGACCTGGAAGGTGTTCCTGGATCCTGGCTGCAGCCCAGCCCAGCCTGGACCACTCCTACCTCTGGACCAGTCTTGGTTGTTGCAAGCATCTGGAGAATAATTCAGCTGATGGGAGCATGCTCATTCTCCCTCATCCTCTCTTACTTTAAGTAAATAAGACCGTAACCAAAATCCTTTTACACTTGAAATGTTTGTTCCTATTTCTTAAGCTGAATTCTTACAGAACTTTCTTTTCCTTTTTACTTAGAGCCAAACCTGAAACAACATTGTACAAACTGATTTTTTTTTTTTTAATGTAAGAGGCAGAGAGAATAGTCCAATGGTTATTTGAATACTTATGAAGATTTGCCAGAATCCCGGCTCTCTTGCTTCCTAGTTGTTCACCTTAGGCAAGGTATTGAAGATCTCTGTACTTTGGATTTTGCTCACATTTAGAAATATGAATAACTGGTGCTGGCATTGTGGTGCAGCAAACTAAGCTGCTGACTGCAGTGCTGGCTCCCCGTAGAGGAGTGCTGGTTTGAGTCCCAGCTCCTTTCCACAGCAGCTGGGAGGCCCATGGATTGTGGCTGCAGTACTTGAGGCCCTGCCATCCACAGAAAGACCGGAATGGAGTCTCTGTCTCCTGGCTTCAGCCGAGCCCAGCCCTGGCTGTTGCAGCCATTTGAGGAGTGAACCAGCAGATGACGGACATCTCTCTATCTCTGTCAGTCTGTCTTTAAAGAAAATACATTTTTTTCTTAAAAAAAAAAAGGAAAATAAATTCCACAAATATGTGGGTTTCAACATCCACAGGATTCAAGAGAGGCTCTGGAGATGAGACGGGGCCAGTAGATGGAGCTGACCAAGAATAGCAAGAAATTGAGAGGTGAGAGAGAAGTGGGAGCGTGGGGAAACCAACAAGGAGGCTGGCATGGCTGGAGCCTGAGTGAAGGGCACGAGGCACCTGGCAGAGGCCTTATGGATCTAGATCTTGCTCAGGAATTACAATGTCACAGCACCTCCAGAGGCGTTGGAAGGAAGGAAGGAAGGAAGGAAGGAAGGAAGGAAGGAAGGAAGGAAGGCAGGCACATAACACAGAGAAGGCAACTCTGGGATCCAGGCAGAGACAGGGTGCTTGGATAGGAAGGTCAATCAGCAGTTCCCCTCTCTCTTTCAGCAACTCTTTCAAATGAACAAAAATAAATCCATCTTTCTTGAAGTGGTATGGCCTATGTTATTTTATTTGTATTTCCATTTCTAGACCAAAGGACTACTGTGCAGTGGCACAGCTAAATACTTGAACACTTGAAAAATTAAAAAAATTTTTTTTAAAAAGTAGAGGGGAGGGTGGTGAGAGATCCTTACATCTTAAACACAGGAGTGGTCTGCGCTCCCCTTCGCCCCACACTGTCCATCCAGCAAGCTTTTGCTCCTTCCAAATTTTCAGCCCAACTGTCACCTTGCCTGTAGAATCTTACCTGACTCCCCAATGCCAGTCACAGCTTATGTTCCAGTGGACATGGAGAAAGCAAATCATTAAAATCTAAGCAGGGGAAATTACCTTTATACCAATGAAGCCATACATTATCTTCCCTACTAATCAAAGAAATTTAAAAAAAATTAACATGTACCATTTCTTACCACCTAGCTCCAGTGAGACTGGCCTACATTCAGAACTCAACTAACAACACCTGCTGGCGTGGATGTGGGGAAAAAGGCACCCTCCTTCACTGCTGGTAGAAGTGCAGGCTAGTACAACCACTGTGGAAATCATAATGCAGAGTGCTTGGAAAATTGCAAATAAACCTGTCATGTGACCCAGCTATCTCGCTCCTAGGAATATACCTAAAGGAGTGAAATCTGCATGTGAGAAGGGGATATGAAATCCTATATTTGCAGCAGCACAATCTACAATAACAAAGACATGGAAACAAAGAAGAGTGGTTAAAGAAACTGTGGTACATCTACTCCATGGCATATTATTCAGCTATTAAGAAGAATGAAATTATACTATTTACAAGCAGGTGGTCCCAACTAGAGACCATTATGTTCAGTGAAATGAGTCAATCACAAAAGAACAATTACCATATATTCTCTCTTATATAAGGAAACCAGCATGGAAAGTGTAACTTCAATAATCCGATCCATACTGGGTTTTGTTTTGTTTAGTTTTGTTGGCTGCATCCCATGTGTTTTGATGTTTTTTATTTCAGCTTTATTTATTCCAACTACTTTCTTTTCTCTTGTCGAATTAATCACTGGCTCATGGATTACATGGTGGCATCATTTTTCCCAAGAGACTTTTGTGTTTCCTTTTTGTCACCTATGTGTTGGTTACTCAGTGGTGCATTTTTTCATGGTGCTGTAATTTGTTGTTGTAGTTGTTGTTGAGGCTGTTCTAACTCATACCAGTTGTCAACCTTGTTTCATGGCTTCTCAATTATGGAAATGTATAATGATGGAGTACTGGGGTCTACCATATCCAGATGTGGAGGTATAATGCAACATGCATCGCTGCTTCCAGACGAAAGATGGATTTCCAATGAAACTGTTGGAAAAGTGCAGACAATGGGATGCTGGACTGTCTGACATTGTCTGTACCAGCAGTGGTGGGGTACACCTAAGTAAGAGACTGATGGAATTATGAATCCTTATGAAGGACTACACCATTGTAGCAAAATGGGGAAAAGGAGGGTAGGAGTTTGGGGGGAATCCCAGTCTATACAAAATTGTACGACATAATTAAAAAATTCAAGAAAAGGCACAATTTCTTATCTATCAAATTTGAAACCCCACCCTTTTTTTTTAAAACAAAATCAAGACACACAATATTACCAGCAGTCAAGGAATCAGACCTTCTCATTCACAGCTAGAGATGGTATAGCTAGTAGAGCAATTTGATAATATGCATTAATAGTTTTTAAGATGTTTTCATTTTTTGACTAAGACATTCCATCTCCTGGTTTATTCTCCAAATGACTGCAATGGCTGGAGCAAAATCAATCTAAACCCAGGAACCAGGAGTTTCTTCTGGATGATTCAAGGTCTTGGGCCATCCTCCACTGCTTTCCCAGGCCACAGCAGGGAGCTGAATTGGAAGTGGAGCAGCTGGGACAAGAACTGGTGCCCATACAACAGGCTGGCGCTGCAGATGAAGGCTTAGAACCCTGCACCATGGTGCCAGCCCCCTGTGATTTATATTTGTAATAAATTTCTTTCCTTTTATGGGTTTTTTGGTTGGTATTTTTTCTTTTGAGCAAAGCCTGAGTTGGAGGGAGGGATGGCCACATGAGTTGAAAACAGAATGGAAAGAACTGAAAAGAATATGGGTGTAGGGATTTGAAATTTGCCACAGTGAATTCTTTATATAAGGCAACTGAGAACTGGCCACACAGAATTTTCATTTGTAACTTACCCATTCGGGTTTCTTTCCAGCTCATTTAGAAGTGTATGATCACAGTATTCGAACACTAAATGCATTTTTCTCTTCCTCCTGAACACCTCAATGAGGTTCACAAGGTTGGGGTGTTTTAATTGCTGCAAAGGAATTGAATACAAGATTTAGTCACATGTTGCTAGCAATGGTTCCTCCTCAGACCTCTAAAAACTTGAAGAGCACAAGACCTTGATTTGTCATTTGGTTTGCAGCTTTGGTGGATGATTTTATACTCAGCAGAGAACTGCTCTTAGTGACTCATAGACACTGAAAGTTTTTATCTAATGTAGCCATAATTGATGGTAATCAAAGTGCTTGAATATCTCTTGTGACAGCAAATGGCCTACAAACACAACCACCGAGGTAAAATATGCTGTGAACATTATAGGTCAACTCCAAATATCCAAGGCATATGATAACCTGAATAAAAAACTGAGGCAAGAGCTGGCCTGGTAGTGCAATGGGTTGAGCTGCTACCTACAATGCCAACATTCCATATGGATGCTGGTTTGAGCTCTTCTGCTCCACTTCTGCTCCAGCTCCCTGCTAACGCTCCTGGAAGAACGGTGGAGCATGGCTCACATGCTTGGGCCCTTGCAAGCACATGGGAGATCCAGATGGAGGTCCTGGCTTCTTCTGTCTGATGGTTCACTCCCCAAGAGGCCACAACAGCTGGAGCGGAGCTGATCTGAAGCCAGGAGCCAGGAGTTTCTTCCAGGTCATCCACGCGGGTGCAGGGTCCCAAGGCTTTGGGTCATCCTTGATTGCTTTCCCAGGCCACAAGCAGGGAGCTGGATGGGAAGTGGAGCTGCCAAGATTAGAACTAGCACCCATATGGGATCCTGGCACATTCAAGGCGAGGACTTCAGCTGCTACACTATTGTGCTGGGCCCTAAAATTTTATTTTATTTTTGCCAGCAGGGTTTAAATTAAGTTTAGAGTCTAGCGTCAGCTCTCAGCAATATTTGGAGACTTCAGAAGTTCATGGAAAATATGGGATTCAAAGATAAGTGTACCCCAGCTGTAGGTAACTGCTTAGATTGCTTTGGACCTAGGCAAGAGTTATACTGCTAGTAAAAAAAAAAAAAAAAAACCAACAAGGCAACAACTGGTGGGCATTCTGGGCCTGATTAATGCCAAATTTGTGTTAACTATCTCAGTGTGCCAGTATATTTATCTGTTCTATTTTTTAAAGATATGTGAGGAATGTGGGGAACACTGGACCAGGACATACTACCCCAGCCGCAAAGAGAGGGCTGCAGATTGCCTGAGGAGGGGAGTCGGGGATGTTTGGAGTGAGAACAGCTAAGGGCATGTTTGAAGAGGGGGAATGACTTCTGGGATCTTTCATGGACCAGGAGCTGAGATGGAGTGGCTTAGCAGAGGGAAACAGGAGGACATGTCTGGGTCAGGCCAAGCCACCTGCTCACTTGGGAGACCTGGGCTGGGTTAAACAGCAATGTCTGTCACCTGCTGGTGCATGCAAAAGCTGGGGCATGTTGGTACGGGTTAGGATGTGGTATCAACGCATGGGTGTAGGAGCAGGGGTGGTGTGCCACATAAGCCTGGGCTACAACACCCACCAGAATGCTGGAGAACTGGATCTGACAGTATAATTTGTAGGGGACTTTTGGGCTCACCTCTGTGAGACTGCAACATCCACTGGTTAGTGCAGAGAGATGGGGTGAAGAGCTGAGTCATGCCAGGCTCATGGGAAGTATCCATTATCATACGCAAGTTCTGAGGCTGGGAATGGGCCTTGTAGGGGAAATTTTGGGACTCTCCTGCTAGGCTGCAGCTCCCACTGGTGAGTGCAAAAGTCAGGGTTAGGGGCAGACCAGGCTGGGAGGCTATATCACCCGTCAGCAGGTGCTGGTCGGATTTGGGGTGGGCCAGACTGGGCTAGGTTTCAGCATCTGTTAGATAGATGAAACTCATAAGCTAGAATGGGTGTGGGACAGGCTGGTGGGCTAGGCTAAGTTAGGGGTAGCACCCACTGGTGAGAGCTGGAATCGGTACGGGCCAGTTGAGCTAGGCTGCAGTACCCACAGCTTAGACTGGGCTGCAGCACTTGTTGGCACTCATCAGATCTGCAGCTGAGAGTGGGCCTGGCAAGAGAACTTGGGGAACTCCCTTACTTGGCCACAACTTCCACGGGTAAGCACAACAGTCAGGGCTGGGGGCATGCTATGCTGGGCTGGGCTGCAGTGCCCTTGGCATATGTGTGAACCACGTCTGGGGGCAGGCTGGGCTGGGCCAACCCATAATACACACTGGTATGAGTAAAAGTCATGATGGGATACAGGCCAAGCTGGGTTGAACTGCAATACCCACCAGTTCACATGAAGGTTGGGAGTGGGCCAGGCTGGGCTAGGTGGCTGCACCTGCTGGTGAGAACTGGGACTGAGGGCAAGATGGACTAGGCAGGGCTGAGCCAGACTGTTATCAGCTACTGGCGAATGCTGATATGGTGGCAGGCCATCTCAGACTGGGTCACAGCACCAGCTGGTGCACTCAGGACCCACAGCTGGGAGTGGGCCTGGTAGGGGAATTCTCTTGCTGGGATACTACTTCCACTGATTATCATGAGAGCTGGAACTAACGGCAGGCCATGCTGGGCTAGGCATATGAATGAGCCAGAATGGGTGTGGACCAGTTGAACGAGGCCTCAGCACCAGCTGGCAAGTGCTGGAACTGGGTATGTCATGTCAGACTGGACTGCAGTGCCCTCTGGTGGGCATGACATACAGGACAGGGAGCAGGCCTGGTAGGGGAATTGTAGGCACTCCTCTGCTGGGCTACAACTCCTGCTGGTGAGTTTGAGAACCAGGGCTGGGGGCAGGCCAGGCTGGTCAAGGCAGCAGCCCCTGTTGGCATACATGTGGGCCAGGTCTGGGAACAGGTTGGGCTGAGCTAAGCTACAGTACCAATGGGTATGCACGAGAGCCAGACAGGACGTGGAATGGATTGTGCTAGGCCACAGCACAAGCCTGCACACAAAAATCAGGTCTGGTAGGGGAAACCCCGAATAAGCTGTAGCATCTGCTGGTGTGTGTGAAGACTGGGATTGCTGCATGCTGGTCTGGACTAGGCTGCAGCACCTGTTAGTTCATCCTCATCAGATGATGGAAGGCAGAACACAGTGGAGGATACTCCTCGCCAAGCCTTACAGCAAGTTCCTGGCCTGGTGCATGCACTAGGGTAGACCTGGTCAGCCAACAGACCTTGGAAAGATTTTCTCAACCTTGGTGCAACAAAGCTGACAATGTCTCAAAACGATCAAAACCACTCAAGTAACACCCTTGAAATCTTCCCCACATTGGGCTCTCTAAGCAGTCATCCAATGACTGTCCCCCATCTCTGGGTGTTGATGTGGTCAGCTAGCAAGAGTGGCCCTCTGCCCTTCCCTCCCTGCGGACGGACGCAGGAGGGGAAAACAATTGAAACAGTTGTCCCGCCTACCTTCCTCTATGCCAAGACCTCCCTATCCTAATCAGAGAGCCACATGTGGATCTTTCTCAACTATGTAAACAATATTAAAAATACAAAATAGAAAAAAATATTATTGCATGAATGCAAGCAATCTTTAAATTCCATTAAGTTTTCTAAATAACTTTTTAAAGACCTGTACACTCAGTCTCAACTGTGGACACAATTAAACTGCCTATTCTAGGATCCCCCTCAGTGTGTGCTCTCAGCTTGTGCTATGTCAGTTCTAATTTTTGATTCTGTTGTATGTCCTAACACACACTTGTTTCATGTATCAAATTCTCTCCCAGACTGAAGCAATGCACAAGGCAGCCTCTGTATAATATTGAAACCAAATGAAAAATGCTGATTAGGTTCGAGAACCCACAATGACTATGACTATATAATTAACATATAAAGCAGGACTGTTCCAACAAACTGCACATGTGGTCACTCTGCCTATAACCAGGGCGACCATCCTCCTATAATTTTAGTAAATATATCAAAATACCATCAAGGGAATGCCAACCAGATAGCGCTCTGGGCCAAAAACTAAAACTATAAGCCAAGACTGTTTTATGCAGACCAAGATATATGATCACTCATAGAACTTATCTTCCCTGGTGTCTTCCCGGGAAAGTAGACAAATCAACTCCCCAGCCCTGCACTATTACTTACACAGAAGGATCTCTAATGAAAACACAGCGTTTGGCACACAGCAAAAGCTCAGTAAGCACTAGGCAAGCCCAGTAGAGAGTGTCAGGTGCGGGGCCTTCTGCTGCATGTCGCTACTTCATTATCTGCAAGCATAGCTTGACCAAAAAAAAAAAAAAAATCTGTAGCTATGGGGCTTTTGCTCAACAGTTTAGGAAAAGAAAATACATTATATTTTAGACATAAGCCCATAGGATCAAACAATGTCTGTGTCCTTCACGGGTTAACTTGGCAGAGAGGACAGGGTGAGCCAGCTGTTTGCGCTATGGAAACCACAGGATGCAGGTGAAGTGCACTTCTACTACGGAAAGAGGGGTACACAGCTACCACAGTCTGATGCAATGTCAAGGTTCAACCTCATCCAATCTCCTGCCTTTGGCAAGATTAGTAATTTACTTCTTTGCAAATCAAGTTCAGTTAGCTCAGAATGATGACCTTGCCTGAACTGAAATAGATAGTAAGTAGGGGGAGATAATGCAATTTAAAACAGTGGAGTTTGTGCATATGGCAAGATGGATTTGGTAGGGAAGGTTAGTGTTTAGGGCACATGTGGGTGTGACACACAGCGCACGTCTTTTCTGAGAGCAGAGATGACGCTGAGGGGAATCTGGCCACTTTTGACCTTAAAGCTCATGTTCAAATTGGGCACTTGCAGCCCAGAAGGTATTACCTGAGCAGTGGTTTCACTTGAAGATTTGGGAGGAGAAGGGGGAGGATGGGAAATGCGTTATTTCCTGGAGAACAACACTGTGAGATCATAACCACCCCTAGCTTTGCCCAGGGAAGGACACTAGAGCTGGCTGGCTGGCCGGCGCCCTCTGCTGGCCAAGGGGCAACAGTAAACTGCCTTTTTATTCTGATGGATGTACTTTTGAAAACTGCCTTTTGCACAAATTAGTTGAAAGAAGATGCTATAAAGGATATCTGGAAAGATGCTCTGAAGGATATCTTGTCTTTCTTTATACACTTCACAAATGAGGGTGAACCGTGTATTCTTGGAATCTCAGGGTCTTAAAGTCTGGCAGTAATTGTGAGAAATGCAGGGACTCGGGCCTATTTTAGAGCTGCCAGAGCAGTGTGCCCTGCAGCAGGACTTCCTGTGACCGTGAACACCCGGGAAACACTGTCCTACACCATATGGTTCTGAAATGCTTAGGAAAGGAATGAAAAACAGAGATCATAAAAGCCTTTATGGAAGCATGGTTTCCATCCCTGGGACTGACATCCGATGCTCTTCTAGAAGTGATGCAGCACAGGCAGGGGGACCAGTCAACATCACAGAAGGATGGAGGCACAGCACAGTCGCCTTGGGCCCTCTGGACCAGCAGGTGCTCCTTCAGTTGCTGGCAGGGAGAGGTACTTGGAGGGATTTCAAAGGAGGGCCGTGATTAGGGCTACAGGATCTAGGACAGTGTGGCTATTAACTAACCAGAATGAAAAGGTACTTTAGTGTTTTAATCAACCACACCCATGCTCATAAATATGCAGGAAAAAACAGCACGGGAGTGGCCAAAGTCCAAAGTAATGGCCACTTTATTTACCAAAATTGTTGATACCAACGAATTTGAACGCGGTGGAAAAAAGAAAGAACATTCCTTAACATTCTTTGTAACTTTTAACAAATGTATTTCACCCAGACCTTGGTCTAGATCCACCACAGAGTATCAACTTACCTTCAACACACGTATTTCTCGTAGTGCGATTTTTTTCACAACAGGGTCATCTTCAGACTCCACAAATTTCTTAATTGCGACTATTTGTCCAGAGGATTTATTTCTGCATTTGAATACAACACCGTAAGACCCTTCTCCAATCTTAGCTAGTTTTTCGTACTTTTCCATTATAGATGAGGTGACTTAAATTATTTATGGATTGATTGGCAGTGTAATGTTGCACCTGGAAAATAACAAGATTCATTCACCTTATGAAGTTTTAAGCAGGATAATCTCATAACTTATATAAAATCAATTTTCCCAGGATGTCAAAGGCTTATTTCCATAAACTGATATTTTTTAAATTTTATTTTTATTGGAAAGAGAGGAGACATAAAGATTTTCTGTACACTGGTTCACTCTTCAAATGGTTGTAATGGCTGGAGTTGAGCCAATCTGAAGCCAGGAGCCAGGAGCTTCTTCTTTGTCTGCCACACAAGTGCAGGGTCCCAAGGCTTGGGTCATCCTTTACTGCTTTCCCAGACAGGGAGCTGGAAGGAAAGTGGAACAGCCAGGACACAAACTGGCACCCAAATGGGTTCCCTGTACATGCAAGACAAGGATTTAGTCCCTGGGCCATCATGCCAGGTCCACTCATTTTAAATTCACTTAAAAATGCTAGACATAATTTTGTTTGGTTTAGTTCTGTGAATTTTTTTTTCCAGGCTTCACAAAGATCGCCTATATTATTTCTGATAATAGGTCTACTTAGTTCAGTCGAATTAAAAACATTTATGGAAATAAGTCTTCTCCGATCTATTGTTTTCAGTTTCCTCATGAGTTGAAAGATGATGCTGTGCAATTAAGCTGGTGCAATATTTCGTATTTTTGAATGTAGTGTTTGTCTTTTTCTTTCTGACTCAGATGCATACCACAATGGTTAGGAAGACAGGAAACAAAGCACTCTGCTTCCACCTGGTGGAAAGAAGAAAGAAGAAAGGTCGCCTGTTGAGCAGAGCAGCTTTACCAACAATCCTTAGGCCTCCAAGGGTCCATGGAGGGACAGATGCTTCAATTCCTCACCTCTAAGGAAATGATAAAATACAAAACAGAACGCAGATTTCACTAATGCTTCATTAACCCCGCCATGTCCATACAGACTCCTTTGCATATAGTGAGTTTATTTTTGTCCTGCATCTCCCATATGTGAATTTTTGTTAACTGAATTGCACATTAAATAAGGCCAATGCAATGAAATGAATGTCTAGAAATACACAATTTAAAAATTCTAATTTGTTTCCAAAATCAAACTTCACTGTATCCAGAAATGAATTGTTAGCACTTACATAACATTGTTCCATGCAAATTAGATATAACTTGCCCAAATACTCCACGAAGTGGGTGTTATTTCTACCCAATTGCACAAATGAGAAGATTGAGCAGGGCCTGCTGCAATGGCTCAACTGGCTAGTCCTTCCTTTGCAAGCACTGGAATTCCATATGGGCATTGGTTCGTGTCCTGGCTGCTCCACTTTCCATCCAGCTCCCTGCTTGTGGCTTTGGAAAGCAATGGAGGATGGCCCAGAGCCTTGGGACCCTGCTCCTGCAAAGATTTGGCACCCTCCTGACTCCTGGCTTTGGATCACTAAAGCCATCCTCCACTTGGCTTTGCTCTCTCAGCTCCGGCTGTTACAGCCATTGTGGGAATGAACAAGCAGACTGATGATCCTTCTGTCTGTTTCTCCTCTCTGGAAAAACACTTGTCCAATGGAAAAAGAAATCTTCAAACAAACAAAAAGGCACAGTGAATATGGTATAGGATTAGAACCTAAGAAGTAAGGTTCAAAATATAGCAATTTCAAAAAATTTTTATTTCAGAGGCTGAGAATGGGGGTGTGGGAATGGAGGACAGAAAGAGAGAGAGAGAGAATTTTGACCCATCAATTCACTCCTGACTGCTTGAGATGGTTGAGGCTGGGCTGGCCTGGGCCAAGCTGGCAGCAAGGAACTCACGCCAGGCTTCCTTGGGTGGCAGGAATTCAATCACTTGAGCCATCACTGCTGTCTCCTAGGGTTTACAGTAGCAGGAAGCCAGACTCTGGAGCCGGAAGCAGGTGTTGAATCCAAGGACTTCGACAGGGGACATAGGCTCCTTGACCACTAGCCAAAATGGCTGTCCCTCAAGGGTCACAATCTTAACCACTCCTCCTCTCAGTTAATTCACAAGAACACAGAATGCAAAGGCTGATTTCATCCAGGTATTTTATTAGTAAAACATCAAGTTAAAGAGATGACCATTTGGATAATTTCCCATTTCAAGTATTAATTTAAAATTTTTATTTAGTGGAGTCTGTTGCCTTTTTATTTTTTAATATTTCTTTAAAAAGCAGGGCAAGAGAGCAAGAGAGCAATGAGAGAAAGAGTACACCCAACTAGAGCTAGAGCGGGTTAACTCCTTACATGGCTGTTAACAGCCAGAAATAGGTCAGGCCCAAGTCAGGAACTCAGAACTCCATTTGGGTCTCCTACAGAAGTGACAGGAACCCAAGAATTCGTGCCATCTTCTGTTGCCCCTCAGTGGAGTTAGCAAGAAGCTGAATGAGAAGCAAAAAGTAGCTAGGACTTGAATCAGGAACTCCATGTGGGATGTGGGGATAAAAAGTGGTTGCTTAATCCATTGTGTTACAAGGCCTGCCCGTGTGTGTATCTCTTAATAAAGGGAGAAAACTGAAACACATACACTTAAGCAACATAAGGAAAATCTAACAGATTTTGTAAACATATTCTAACCTAGTTACTATTGTCTAAAAGAGAATGAGATATAAGAATGCAAACATTTGTCTTTCATTAATCTAGTTAAATGTGGTTGGAAAGAGAAGAGGGGAAACCAGGAATTTGTTTTAGAAAGTTATTGGTACAAAACTGTACAGCTGCACTAGCAGGGTGGTCCAATGAGTTAATCCTCTACTGTATGGGCACATGTTTGTGTCCTGGCTGCTTCACTTCCAACCTAGCTCCCTGCTTAGGAAGCTTGGGAAAGAACCAGAGGTAGCTCAAGTCCTTGGGTCCCTGTATCCATGTGGGAGATCCAGAAAAATCTCATGGCTTTGGACCGGCTCAGCTCTGGTTGTCAAAATCACTTGGGGAGTTCAATCAGCAGATGGAAGGTCTCTCTGGTGTTTCTTTTCTCTGTAAGTCTTCCTTTTAAATGAAAACATAAATAAATCTAAAAAAATGCACAGCTGGATGATTTGTTTAAAATCATTTTTATTTGAAAGGTTAAGTTACAGATAGGAGGAGAGACAGAGGGATCTTCCATATGCTGGTTCACTCCCCAGACGACTGTGACGATCAGAGCTGAGCCAGTCCGGAGCCAGAGGCCAAAAACTTCATCTAGGTATCCCATGTGGTCCAGGGGCCCAAGGACATGGGCCATCCTCTGCTGCTTTCCCAGCCTTTAAGCAGGGAGCCAGATGGGAAGTGGAGTAGCCTGGACCAGAACCAGCACCCATATGGGATGCTAGCACCTAGAGGTATAGGATTAGCCTGTTCAGCCATGGGCTGGCCCCTGCTGCATCAGTGTAACACACTTGGTAAGCATTACAGTCCTGGAGGAAACAAGAATATGTGTAAGGGGTGGACTATGAATATTTAAACATGTTATTTTCTTACTTTGCTCATGCTCAATATTGGCTGGTTCCTCAGGCTAATGTTTTGATGTCTCAGTCACATCAACTGAACTGCTGAATACAATAAAACAGGACATTCCCTGGGAACCTCACATTATTTGTTTTCAAGTCCCTTATGGTTCACAGAAAATAAGTCAAGTATGCAATGAGGAATAAGAATAAGGCCCCCAAAGAGCAGTGGCTCTCACCTATGCTGCCTGCAGGCCCTAGAGTTTCCATCAGAACTTCCTTAGCTCCTCCTCAGGTCCAGCCTAATCTCCCCGCTGCATGATGAAATCTCTGCTTCAATGGACAGAATCATCTCACACGGGCATGTTCTAAACCACTGCCTTCTCTTTCTCCTGCCCTGCACCATCCCAAGCTCACAAGAGCGTGCCACACTACACTGGGATGGCTTGTGAAGACTCATACTGTGGGTAGCTTTGAGGAAATCAGAGAAATAACTGCTGCTTCAGCTGAATCCCTTCATGCAGTTCCCAAAATGCTGTACAAAGCAGGCAGAGCAACTACAACCATGCACATTCAATGTTTGTTATATAACGAGTGGCTAGAGTCCTCTACAAACCAAAGTGGAAAAGTTCAAATTCTGGGAGGGAGAGAGGCCTTTAAGTCCTCACGATTAGCCTTTGTGGAGAACTGATAGTGGTTGAGATCCTGGAAAACTGTAAAAAAAAAAAAAGAGAAGAGAAGAAGCCCTAGGGCAGACTTGAAATCGTCTTCTTCCAGAAGAAGTCTGGTCTTGGAGAACCAGAGGATTTGCTCCAGGGAAAGGACTTCACACAGGCATTGGGCAGCAGTAGTCAGGCTGGAGCTGCTCCTGGGGACTGGAGGGGCATGACGGAAGCGAGAGACACCTGTTGGAGACTGAGCAAGGAAGGCACAGAGAGGGAGAGACTTGGGATCTTGCAAGACAAAAGAGAATCCTGATCCTGGAGGATGTTTCCCGCTCCACTAAGTGGAGGGAAGCACCATCCATGAAATCAATTGCACTTTGCCACTAGGATGGAGAGGGCCTCTTGATCAGGGATGACTGGAGTTACTACCAGAGAAAGCCTGCCCAAGAAATACTATAGAGGACACTATTATCCACCCAAAGGTTATTATTGGAAGAAAAAGCAGAAGACATTTCAACTGGTGAGAATCACTGGAAAGAAAAATCCCATGAATGAAACAGAATAAAACTAACATAAACACGCAAACTGGTTTAAATACTCTAACATTTTGTGGGAGAGATGAAAAGGTCATAAATTAAAAAATAGAAGAAATGAACAGAAAAAAAAAAACACGAATAAAATGAGAGTTGCATGAACTAAGGAAAGAATTGGAAGAAGACTAAACATGCTGGAAATGATAAACTGTAATATCCTTGAGTTCTTCTTGAGTTTGTTGGAGAATGGCCTTCATCCAATCAAGAACTGCCTGGAGAGATTTCAGCATAAGGCTTTAAGAAGAGCATTTAATATATTTAAAGATTAAAACAAAGGAACCAGGGTGGAATAATATATATTACTCTCATATGTAAATGTCATCAATTCTAACAAGGTAGTAAGCAATGCAACTAAAGCTGTGCTAAAAAGCACAGAAAGGAGAGGAAAAATAAGCTTATTAATAACTGAAGCGGCAACAGGTGGGAATAAAAAAACATCAATAAAAAACTGGCAAGCGAAGACTGGTCTGGTGGTATATCAGGATAATCCTCTGCCTGCAGTACTTACAGCCCATATGGGAGCTGTTCCCATCCCGGCTGCTTCACGTTTGATCCTGCTTATGGCCTGGGAAAGCAGCAGAGGCTGGCCCAGTCCTTGTACCTCTGCACCCACATGGGAGACCTAGAAAAAAGCTCCTGGCTTTGGATTGGCTCAGCTCCAGCCACCATGGCCATTTGGGTAGTGAATCAGCGGATGGTCTCTCTCTGCTTCTCTCTCTGTAAAACATTTACCCTTCCAATAAAAAGGAATAAAATTAAAGCAACAGCAGTAACAACAAATTGGCGAATCAGGGAAAAAGATTAAAGAAGATTCCAGGAATCATGAATGTTTTTCTTAAAAAAAAAAACAAAAAAACAAAAAAACAGCGAGAACTACTTGAATAAAAAATACAAACTTTCGTAAATATATATAAAAAAATGTTAAGACAAAAAGCAAATATGGGGCTGGCATTGTGCCACAGAGGGTTGAATGATTGCTTTTGGCACTGGCATCCCGTATCAGATTGCCCATTATCAGAGAGTCCCATATCAGGAAGTCCTGGTTACTGCGCTTCCAAGCCAGCCTCCTGCACCTGGGATGCAGCAGATGTGGCCTCAGCACTTAGGCCTACACTCCCTGTGTCAGTGATGGGGACGGAGTGCCCGGTTCCTGGCTTCTGCTGACCCAGACCTGGCTGTGTGGCTCTTCGGGGAGTGAATCCTCGAGAAAATCTCTGTCTACATGTTGTCTTTCCTTTCTTTCTATTATTCTGCCTCTCAAATAAATACATCTTTTTCTATTCTTTACTTTTATTTTTAAATTTTTATTGGAAACGCAGATTTATAGGAAGAAGAGGCAGAGAGAAAGATCTTCCATCTGCTGGTTCATTCCCCAAATGACCGCAAAAGTCAGAGCTGAGCTGATCCAAAGCCAGGAGCCAGGCGCCAGCTTCTTCTAGGCCTCCTATGTGGATGTGGGGTCCCAAGGCTTTAGGCCATCCTCTGCTGCTTTCTCAGGTCACAAGAAGGGAGCTAGAATGGAAGTGGAACAGCTGGGATACCAACCAGTGCCCACATGGGATGCTGGCACTTAGAGGTGGAGGATTAGCCAGTATACCATTGTGTTGGGCCCATCTTCTTCTATTTTTAAAAAGGAGTAATTTTATTTGAAGGGTAGAATTAGAGGGGTACTGGCAGATGTAAAGAAAAAGAGAGAGACACCTATTTGCTGGGTCACTCCCCAAATACCTGCAATAGCTAGGACTTGGCCAAGCTGAAGCCAGTAGCCAGGTGCTTCATCCAGGTCTCCCCATGCACGCAGGGGCCCAAGCATTTGGGCTATCTTCTGCTGCTTCCGTATGAACTGCAGCACAGAGCTAGTGGAAGTAGAGCAGCTGGAAATCAAACTGTCAGTATGGGAGGCTGGCACTGCAGGTGGTGGCTTTACTCACTATGCTACAGTGCCAGCCCCAATGTTTTTCTGTTTTTTTTTTTCCTTTTTAAATACAGTATCTACAGAAGGAAACAGTAATGCTATACATATACTAATTTTAACATTAAACATTAAACATTTAACATTAAACAATATGATAAACCAATATCAGCATATTAACAAATATGAATGGCCTTATTTATTTCACTTATTTTTTTATACTGATAGATTGTAATTTCTAAAAAAGATTTATCTACTTGAAAATGAGAGTTACAAAGAGACAGGTAGAGAATGAGAGATAAGAAGTTTTCTTCTAAGCATGGGTTCACGCCTCTAAATGGCCACAACATTCAGAGCAAGGTGGGTCAGAATCCAGGAGCTTCATGTGGGTTGCCCACATGGATGGCAGGGATCCAAGTAACTGGACCATTTTCCACTGCTTTCCCAGGTGCGTTAGCAGGGAGCTGCATCAGAAGTTGATCAGCCAGGACCTGAAGCCAGTGCTGTGGTCTATACCTGTGCTACCAGCATCATATGTGTGCCAGTTCATGTCCCATATGATACACTTCCAAGCCAGGTACCTGGTCAGGTGCCTGGAAAAGCAGCAGAAGATAGCCCAAGTCCAAGGGCTCCTGCATGCACATACAAGACCTGAAAGAATCTCTAGGATCCTGGTTTTGGATAGGCCCAGCTTTTGGCATTGAAGCTATTTGTGGAGTGAGCCAGCAGACAGAAGCTCTCTCTGTTTCTCATTCTTTCTGTAAATCTGCATTTCAAATAAAATAAATACATCTTTAAAAATTTTACTAACACTTGTAAAATAAGAGTATGGTATTGGCATAATGAGACATATGGACATATCAATGAAATATTATGATAAGAAATAGATGCTTTTATCTATGGTTGTCTTAGTCTGTTTTATGCTGTAATAACAGAATAGCTGAACTGGGGCAATTTATAAGGAATAGAAATGTATTAGTTCATGGTATTAGATTTATTAGCAAATGGTTCCAGAGGCTGCGAAGTCCAGCATGAAGGCAACAGTACCTGGTACGGGCCTTCTTGTCACCCCATCACATAGTTAAGGTGAGCGGGTAGGAGGCTAAGAGAGCAGTCACTCTGCTACAACAGCATCACTCCCACACACGAGTGTGGAGTTCTCACTGCTAATCGCTTCCGTGAGATTTGAACTCTCAGTGCTGTCACAGTGGAAACTGCATTTCTTTCTTTCTTTCTTTTTAAAAAAGATTTTATTTACTTTTATTACAGAGTCAGATATACAGAGAGGAGTAGAGACAGAAAGATCTTCTGTCGGATGATTCACTCCCAAGTGAGCGCAACGACCAGTGCTATGCCAATCCAAAGCCGGGAACCAGGAACTTCTTCCAGGCCTCCTACGCCAGTGCAGGGTCCCAAGGCTTTGGGCTGTCCTCAACTGCTTTCTCAGGCCACAAGCAGGGAGCTGGATGGGAAGCAGGGCTGCCAGGATTAGAACCGGTGCCCATATGGGATCCTGGCGCGTTCAAGGCAAAGACTTTAGCCGTTAAGCTATGCATTTCAATACAGGTTTGGGAGGGAACAAACATTCAGGCCACAGGTGAGCAGGCAGCCCAATGAGAGATCAGATTTGTCAATGTATGATGCCATGAAACAATGAAGAAAAGCAGACACCTGCCTACCCCATGCCAGATGTCAAGATTAACTCAAAACGGATCACAGACCAAAAGGTAAGAACCCAAACTACCCAACTCCTAGAAGAAAAAACAGAAGAAAAACTTTTGTGACTTTGTTAGGAAAAGATGTTTTACATATGATATCAACAATATCACAGTGTAAAAAAAAGATATATTGGAAATCTTCAATGTTAAAGTCTTTTGCTAGTCAAATAAGATATCCAATTAAGGAAATGAAGATATGCCACAGACTGAAAAAAATATGAGCAAGTCATGTATTCAACAAAGAAACTGTATGTAGAATACATGCTCATGATACAGAAAATTCAGACAATTTAAAAATGGGCAAAAGATTTGAATTGGCATTTAACCAAAGGAGATACATAAATGTCTAATAAGCACATGAAAGGGTATTATTAGACAAATGTGAATTAAATCTGTAATAAATCTTTTTCTACAACCACTGGAATGACTCAAATCCAAGGGACTGATACATTCAAAGACAATAAGGATGCAGCCAAGCTCTGTACTCATATGTGATGGTTAGGAATGCAAATCGGCAAGCCCATTCAAAAACAGTTTGGCAGAGTCTCAAAAGCTAAGCGTAATATAAACAGCAGTTTGACTTCTTAGTCTCTAATCAGGAAAATTTCTAAAATGTCTTAAAGAAATGGAGGAAAATCATCATAGTACTGTTACTGAGCCTCAAATCCAAGCAGTCTCATGGATACACAAAATAAACTAGTAAAATCAAATTGACTGTGAGTGAGACGTTGTATTTCCTGCTTTTGATAACTTGTTCCGTGATCTTGTAAGCAAATGTCCCATTCTTACAAAATATACAGTGACATTTAAGGGCAAAGGAATAAGATGATCACAATTCCTTCACAAATGGCACAGAATCTTGGTATTGACATGTACAAAAAGATAGAAAGTAACTGATAAGATAAATGGAATACAATGTAATTAATGATATAGATATGTGATCAGGTGTTGTCCTTCCTTAAAAACATCTTACAGCCTTGAATGTCATCAGATGAAGTTCAAATATATATATTTAAATTCGTGTATATATACACACACATACATATATAATCCCTCCCTCTACACACACACATAGACAAACATCTCGGCCCCACCTTGATTTTCTAACTTTGCTTCTGATTCTTCCAATCACTTCCAAACATCTAGGTTTTGGCTTGCAATGTTTATCCTTGATTTTTTTTTTTTAAACAGCTCACTAAAAATGTTTTTTCCCGCTTAGTTCTTCCTAGCCATCAACATAATTTTGTGTAAACAACTCTCCCCTATTCCCTTTTAAACATTACTTGTCACACCTGACTTGTATGCTGAGCCCAGCTTTCCACCGACATGATTTTCCTTTTAAAACAAAGGGATTAAATACATTATGTACAGTACTTGGTAATTGGAACTGTATTTGAGCAGAAAATAAAGATTATTAAATGGTGATAAGGCTACTTATTGTCAGGGGTCAGCTGTAACTTATTGGATACTTTCATGACTGACCATGACCTGACTGAGGCTATCTACTTGTTGGCTTCAGGCCCTCCAATGTAAGAATTTTTACAAAATAGTTTTTGAATTCCCAGGAAATTCCGTGAACAAAATCAAGCCAGGTAAAGTCTTCCTGGGGACTACAGACACTTGAATTCTTTGGAAAATTCTTTGGAAATTTTCTATTTCATTTTCCTAGTATTCAGGATTTACAAAATGATGTTCGCAGAAACATAAAATACTCAGAGGTGGATAACTTTCCATGGCTGTATCCCAAACCAAGTCCCCAGGGTTTAGGTAAAGCTAAGGCATACACCAAGATAACAACCGAGGCAGGGAGAAGCTGGGAGCAGAAAGAAAGTGAAAAAATCCCACGGACTTCTTAACCTAGGAGGTTCTAGGAAACTGACGTGCCTTTAGGAGAGAGGGGAAGAGCTTTTCAAGACCTGCCCCGGTTATTTTGGATTCTACAGGCTAAAAACTACAGCTTGTGATGTTGCTCTGTTTCTAGGAAGCAAAAAACACATTCATATTTACTAAATATGGATCAGAAAAATGGGCTATTAAATCATTCTGAAAAAAAAAGAGGGGTGGGGAGCACGATGGTTCAACTAATTTTCTGCCTACAAACACAGACACCCCCTATGGGCACTGGCTCCTCCTGTCCCAGCTGCTCCAGTTTCGATCCAACTCCCTGCTTAAGGCCTGGGAATAGCAATGGAGGATGACCCAAAGCCTTGGGATCCTGCACCTATGTGGGACATCCCAGGGGAGGCTCCTGGCTCCTGGCTCCTGGCTTCAGATCAGCTCAACTCCAGCCATTGTGGTAATTTGGGGAGTGAATCAGCAGATGGAAGATCTTTATCTCTTTTCTCTGTAAACCTGCCTTTCCAATAAAAATAAATCTTAAAAAAATCACGATTTGTGCTAATTAATCCATTTCGAGGTAAAGTGAAAGTAAAAAAATTTGACCACACGTTGGCGCCGTCTCCCTTCTCTGCCACCTCCGCAGTTCCATCCCACCCTGTTGGCCTCCCCGCACACCACTCTTACCGCTGGGACACGGATCAGTAGTGTGGGTGGTGGGAGCCACCTGTTACTACCAGCTCTTCACCACGCCTCCTTCCCTTTCCTTCCAAGGGACCTCAAAGGGGAAGCTTGCCCCCTCTTCCCGCGAGGGTTATTTGAGTTTCTTTATCTGGGGGGCCTCTACTCCAGGCTGACCACACTCTGGCTCCCACCCACCAGCCCTGGTGGCCTGAATCCGCACTTACAGCTTGGTGGGGGTCCACCTGGTCTCCAGCAGTCCAAACAGCTGCAGCCAGCGCGGTGACTGTGAGCAGGCAGCCGGCAGCTCAGCAACTCCGCAGCGAGCCAAGTTGCCCCGGCGTCTCCCAGGCAACCGGACGCTCAGGCCCCGCGGGGCAGTGGCTTCCGGACAGAGGGTCCCTGGGCACCCGCAGTTAGGTTCAGCATGAGTGGGTAACCTCTTGGCAAAGCCTCAAACGTTAGGGTAAGGTTCAGCAAGAGATGTGCGAAGAGGATTCCCAGGAAACAGTTGAATTACTTTTTCCTGAGCACTGGATACACCAACTCTTGCTCTGTGGAGCCAAGGCAACGCGAGCTTGGATTTTGTTTGGCCTGCTTCCCTATCTGAGTGCAGACACTCAGTGTGCAAATGATGTCATTAGTCTTTACCCCTGGGTCTTATTGTTCCAATTGGTTTTTGTTTTTGTGAACTGCCGGCAGGCTTTTCTGCGACAAGCTTTATAGTTGTGGTCCGCCGATGCCACGTTCATTGTTCTGCGAGGATTCACAGTGCGGCATAGTTACTCCTCAGTACTGAAGTCAAGCAAAGCGCTAGTGTTGAATGCCATATGGAGACAAATGTATTAACCTCAGGGAGGAGGATTTTTGTCAAGACTAACTTAAAAATGTTGACTCTGCAGTATGCACATGCATATTTAGTTTGAAAATCAGTGACAAGCTCTGCACAATGGTTTTAGGATGGCCCTACCTTTCCTCCCTCACAGGTGACTGCCTTCTCCGTTTCTTACCCACATCAATTCTCCATCTCCTTAGAAGTATGCTCACATCTTGTTCCATATTCAGCACCCACCTTCCCCTACAAGCCAGAAACTTTTCTTTCAATTTTGAATACATATTTTGACTAAACTCCAAATCACTCATTAACTCAAATCTACTCATTGGGCTTGTTTCATTACGCTACAGAAAAACACTTCCCTCTGAGCATGCAATTGGTCAGCTCATGGGCACACCTGTCAGCCACTTGTCATCTCCACTGCTGACCCCGCCCTCCGTGGCTTCCAAGACTGTGGACTCAGGCGCTCTCCTCCCGAGCCAACTCTGGGGACAGGGCCCCTCTTGCCCTCCAGCTTCACACCCTGTTTCTCTGCTCCATGTACTTTAAACCGTGCTGTGTTTATGCCACTATTTTGTGAATATGCCTTCATGGAGCCTACGGCCTCCTCTCTGCACATGATAAAATGCTTTTCATCTACCAACAACTCACATTTTCATTCAAAGATCTCCATCTTCCCCAAGCACGGTCAGGCACGATCTTCCGGCCATTTCCCTCTTTACCCAATTCTGTTCCCTGCAGGAATACTGGCTGGCTGGGAATGACGCTTTTCCCACCTTTTCTCCAATGCCAGGAAAGTGCCTGGATACACTGAAAACAATCAGTACAGGTTGGTTAGGAAACTGTGTCAATAAAATTAAAGACTGTGATGAATTTCAATTAGATTTACTAAATAAGCTTTAACTATCCATTTATGTAAGCTTATTTGTCTTTATACAAAACACCAAATAAGCAAGGAGACAGCAAAAATCTGAATTTGAAATTCAATTCCTGGAGAAACTCTTCGAGTGTCTTATTTCAGAGGGAAAAAAAAAATACTAGAATCTATTTTAGTGGTCAGAGAATATACTGCATGAGTTTTAAGTAAAAGTCTGAGATAGTGGTTAAAGTCACTTTGATCCAAATGTCTGGGTTCAAAGCTCTACTACTTACCAGCTGTAATCTTGGACAGGTCATTGAACCCTGCTGTGCCTCAGTCTCTTCATCTGTAAAATGGAGTTAAAACCTGAACTGGGCTGTTCTGGGGCCTGAGCAGGTCTACTTAGGCATGCAGAAGTGCACCTGGCACACAGATATATACAGTGAGCTCTATTACACATATCAAGACAAACAGTGAACACTACCGCACATGCCAAGTAACTGTTTTGAACTGCTTACTTTCCATAGAGCTCATATTTTCAGTTTCCTGTCAATAGGTATAAGCTGATTTACTCAATCCACCCTTTATTTCTCAGTCTCTTCTGAATCAGATATATTTGAAAACTGAATGATGTCGGTGGCCTACAAACTGACATTCTTCCCCAAATCAATTGGCAGTAAGAGAGGAATGAATGTCAATGAAGACAAATAAATTGCTTCCATAGTTAAGTGAGTGGTGATCTTCCTTTTCAATGCATAAAGATCCACAGCCCAGAATTCTTGCGGGAAATCTGGAAA